TGAATGTAAAATGAAGCCTTGGCCTGGATAACTTCATCCCTTATCCAAACACAAGTTGGCTACACATATAGACCCTAAAATTGCTATCTGCCCCAAGAAGGATGATTTTGAGCCCAAAAAGTCACAAAAAATGTTCATGTATTGAATTTAATTTCAGCCCAGATGGAAATCCAATTATGTTTAAATTCAGATTTACCAAGATAAAAAAGTTACAAACATATTCAGTTTTACTTTGGTACATGATTTCAATGATCATTATTCGTTTACAAACTAAGACAACTACATTTATGCAACTAAAAAAGCCCAGACTAAAGTTGAGCCCTTTTCATATTGCCAGTTGAAGACACGATATCTACGGCCCGTTATATCTCGACTTCAATGTCAAAGAGGCAGTAACAGAGGTGAGGCGGGATCACTGTGAAGCAGCGGGTAAGGCTGGGCAGAACAGCACTGTGTGTGTGTGTGTGTGTGTGCATTTCTGAGTGTGTGTATGTGTATGTGGAGCCCCTGCTGTTTGTTTACACGTTGTCATTCCGCAATGCAGTGTGAAATAACAGTTTGGGATACCAATATCACGCTGTTTCAGAATCAATATAAAAGTACAAAGACTTCATCACAGCGACGCTTCATTAAGACACTGTTGCGTAACGCAATCTGAAAAGAGCTTGTGTAATCTAAAATTGGTTTCTGGCAACACTAACTTTTGGTTCAAAGAGAGTTTAAATTGAGAACCACCATCAGCCTCGGCCTTTATACCACCAGGGTGTTATTTTTTGTTGTTTAAAAATGAACAGTGATGTCTGTTCTTTCCCGATACAAACAGTGACCCCTACATTTACACCCCACTGACGCCTCCACCATGAATATCCCAAAAAGTCTGTAAACTTGATAACAACTTCTATGCAGCTCTTCAAGAATTCAGGACAAAAAAATAAAAATAAAAATCACCCTTCAGCAGTAAAATCCTGCGTCATCTTTATATTTACACTGACAGCCCACCACCTCTACTTGCCTGCAGGTCTCTTGGCCAGGTTGAGACAGTCAGCGTGATAGACCTTGGGACACCCCAGCTTCTTACAGGACACTATCTGACCTCCGTCCCCGCAGCTGAAGCACTCGTCCTCCCTCTCCTTTGTCACTACTTGCTTAGTCTTCTTCTTCATCCTCCTCCCTTCTTTCGGTTTCTCTGCTGATGGCTGGTTCTAGAGAAGGGGAAGACACAAGGATCATCAGAAGTTTATCTAAAAAGTGTGGGAAGTGTAGTTCTTCAGTGTTTCAATTATTTAAGTGTCAGCGTTTACTTTAGGCCGGACCCCCAGGAAACCGCTGCAGTTCGGTGCTCCACATTTACAGGCAGTCTTTCCGTTTCCAAGACACTCCAGGTTATAGTTGAACTTCAGCTCCTCATCTGAAGTGATTGAGATTAGATCGTTTTACATACATGTACATAAAATGACATTTATCCTGCGCTAAGATTGATTAAATACCAAAATAAGGAGTAGGTGATGAGTCAAACCTTTTGGGATGTCTCGCAGAGCAAACAACCCCACCCTGGTGTCCCCGTTCACAGTCCACTTCTGAGTCTCACAGTTTGGCTGGCAGCTGTGGTTCATGAAGCGAGCCTGGTTCCCTTTGGGCCCGGCGTCAATGATCCGGTCCTTCAATAACAAAACACAAACCAGTTTGCGCCAAGCATGCCACCTTCACCGTGAATCCAGTGTGTTGCCCAGCTGTATCATACACACCTTGTCCAACGTGAGCATGTAGAAGTTACAGATGTCGTTCTCCTGGGCGTGTCTGATGCGGGCTCGACACTCTTCTTCATCGATCACCTCTCCAACATATTCACTCACGAAGGCTCCCTAAATAGCAAGAAGAGAGATGAATAACACTTTAATACTACGAGTATCATACTGTAGTTGTCACATAATGTCGCCACCTTGTTTCTTTCTAAATACCTTCTTTATGTCCGCCATGCCCCGTAAGCCCCAGCCGCATGACAGCGTCCTGTAAATCTCCACATTTGTGTACTGTCGCTTTGTGAAGGCCTGGTTCTGACAGCGCTCCCCCGCCGCACACACCTGGGGGTGGCACTCGTACATCAGCATGCGATTGATGCACTCAGAGTCGATGCCGCACGGGTTCTCGTCAGACGCCTTACAGTTGCAGCGTGGGATCTCTGATAGGTCAGCAGTTATGATCTGCACCTTCCCTATCGGCCGGTTAACCTGAGAGACAGAGACGAGGGCACACACATTTCTTTTTTTTTTTCACCATACATCTCAGTGGACTGCGCTTTAGTGAGGCTAGCAGATCTGAGCACAGATTGTGTGTATGTGCGGGCACACAGTACCTTGATGTGCCTGTATGGAGGAGGTTTCTTGTCGTTCTTTCTGTCCTCCTGAAGCTGCTTCATCTCTTTTTCTGCCTGAAGCGCTTTGAAGCGCTCAGCTGCTTCAGTCAGGGCTGTGAAGAAAAAAAATTTCATCATTCAAACAATTCAAATAATAGCTTTAACCACAGTGACCTTAATCTGAAAATAAGATATGAATCTAAATCAAGGCAAGGCAAGTTTATTTATATAGCACATTTCAACTACAAGGCAATTCAAAGTGCTTCACACAACATCAAAAGCATCACGACAAAGGGGGAAAAAAAGGAATATTAAAATAGAAAATTAAAAAAAAATCACTAAAACAAACAATTCACATTCACATACAATCCTACATAGAAGCATACACACCCTTTTTGTACACTGCGTCTGCACCCTTTCCCATCTTCTCTATGTTGTGAGTGTCACCCTCCATGTAGGGGAAGACCCTGGCCTGGTACGTCCACACAAAATCTTTGGAGCCAAAGAATTGCACCGGGAACTCTCCCACCTCATGTTTCATCCTCAAGATGTTATTTGGCACATCTTTAGCCATACAGACCTCTGCAGGCCACCACCTAAAAGAGTCACATCAGACGTCAGAAATACAAACACAGGGAGTTCTGATGCTGCCGTGTGTAACTGGAAGGCGATGCTGTGGCCTTACCTGTAACGTCCCCATTTGACCCACAGGATATCCTTTATACGAGGCCTCTTCCCAGCCTTGCAGTCATTGCAGAACCAGCTGCCCTGAGGCATCTCGATGTTCAAACACTCCTGATGGAAAGCAGCAGGACAGGCTTCACAGCACAGCAGACTCCCCCCTAAAGAACCACAACAACACATTTATGACATGGATTCATTCTTATCCAATGTTAGTCCATTAATCATATCAAGATTTGAATAATGTCTAAAACGACTAAATGATCCGTTATAAGATTCCAGAGCTCAAACTGTGCATTTTAAATTTGTCATTTTTTGTACAAAATAAAACATGTTTAATAACATTACACAAAAGGCAGAAACGGTGCACAACGGTGACTGTTGTCTTTTTATGGCTGCAGCATGGGTAAAGAGCCCAAGACACATTTCTCACAGATGAAGTTCATCTTGGATCTTGAATCTTGTAAGATGTAACCAGTAAATCAATACCAATGTTACCACATGTTGGACATATTCCTGCATTAAAGCGCCTGAGGCAGACCCTGGTGCAGATGTAGTGTAAAAAAGGGAGGGAAGAAAAAACGAGGCAGCATTTGATTGGAAAAGTACGGGGCATAAAGTTTAATTTACAACACATTATGCCGCCCTGAAGAAAAAAAAGCCATCATACATTTTTCAAAACATCCCCTTTTATGATGAGTTTTTACAGCAATTAAAACAGAGCATAAATATAAGAAATCGTTTCACTCCTTCAAGAATGTAACTCATTTTTCACAGTAGTAAAACGGCTGGAGGTTAAAACAACCATTTAAGCGAAGAAGACTCACCTTCAGAGCAGACGAAGCACCAGCTCACGTTGATGTGTTCGTGATTCTTGCAGCCTTTGCGGGGTGTGAAGTGGTTTGGACAGAGGAAGCTGTTGTTGGAAAGCACCAAGCTGCCTGCTGCCATACAGTTATCATTGGCATGGTAGGCCACAGGGCAGCGAACGCATCGCGCCAAACGACCTATGATCAAAACACAGGCGAAGAGAGTGAGCCCAACCTGTATTTAACCTATTCACATCTAAAAAAAAAAAAATGGATTTAAGTTTTGTGACAAGAACCAATAACACAGTGTTTTCAGTAAACTGAATGCTTAATGCAGCCTATACTACAATTTGAATTGAAGGAAAATGTAATTTTTCAATAAGATTTTGAGAATTGAGAATTTAAGAGTGCCAATTTTGAACCTACTCCTCCATTGTTACAAGTAGATTGGGTTTAAATCCTGTGCAGCAGGTGATTCTCAGGGTAAGATCTAACACAACACACACTATTTTTTTAAATCATCAGGTGTTACATGAATAAACATGCTGGAACTATTTCTTCATGTGAACAAATATACCAGACATCATGTACAGTCACTTCTTTAGGTGACACTGTCCATTTACTCAATGAGTCTACTGCACATAAAAACTGCACCCCATTAATAATCACTTTAGATGTGCTCAAAGCTAAAACGTGGGTGTGTAAAAACAGGTCAGTGAAAGGCACTGCTCAACAGACCTGTAGTATTGCTTAATATGTAAATTATGTAACCTGAAACTTGTCCTATCTTAGTGATAGTAGGATAAGACTTTGTTTTAAATACATGAATCCATATTGCAGTACAGACAGCATTAAAGAATGATGCTAATGGAGCTCAGAAATGCGTTATTAGACCCTTGTTGTGCAAAGGTTGTTGCAAAAAAGGTACCAAAATGTAATCAGGGCTACCGTTTAACCTTTGTTCAGTTCATTCATAGGAGAAAAAGAATAATCGTCAACACCATAATAAATATCACCATGATTTACTTGGTCGCTTCATGAATAATGTACGATACTGCAAAATCATGGCTTCACACTTTTTCAACATGTCTATGCCATCATGTGGTTTATACTCAAACACAGTGGAGCTTACCTTTGGAGCTGCAGATGTTGAGCGGGTTGGTGATGTGGCAGGACAGACACACGTGCAGGGGGCAGCGGACGCCTTTGTTGTGTGGTTGTGTCGGCGAGTATGCAAGTATGCAGTCGGCATGGTAAAACTTCCCGCACAGCGGTATGATGCAGCGCTTCACCCCATTACCAGACTTCTTGCACACGAAACACAAGTGGACGCCTGAACGTCAGCAGAAAGCGTTCAAAGTGAGGACATATTTATGATCACAGACAAGAATGATCACAGCCCAGCATCATGACACCTACCAGCTTTGCATTCACCACAGAAGAATTTTCCCTTTGGAGCCGCTGACAGGCCAATGCACTGCAGGTGAAAGGCTCCGTAACAGTGACCCTCGCACAGCACCAGGTCTCCTGTCCTCTCACACACCTGCACAGACACACACACACACACACACACACACACACACACACACACACACACACTCCATGAGATACATCCTGATAATGTACCCGTGATCATTTAAGGATGGCTCACAAGCAGGGAAAAAGCGAATTATCTCACCTGACAGACATTCTCCTTTAAGGTGGAAGCCCCTATTTTCACTTTCACATCCACATGGGAAGAGAAGGTATCATTCAAACCAATAGGCAGCACCTATGAAAGAAAGATTTTTTTTTTTCATGAACACAAGGCTACATATTATTTCCACTTGACGTGAGCTGATCTGCAACATGCACACCTCAGGGTTGGGTGTTAGTGTTCCAGTGTGTTCATTTTGTTTCTCATCGATGCTACAAGCCTCCATCTCTGCCTCCCGCTTGGGGGTCTTTGATCCTTGGGGGCTGGGAGGTATGTTTGGAGTGAGGGCCCTGAGGCGATCTTTGACGTCTGAGTTCTGGGCGGAAGCAGCATTGGCGGGGAAGAGGACATGCCGGATGCAGGCTTCTCTTTCTTTGAAAATCCAACCTAGCCAATGTAATATTTCACAGCATCAGGACCGCTGACTATACATTGATCAGACTTAGATTTCGATTGTGCTCATGTGGTACCTGAGTTTTCTTGGCTTGCACCTTTATCTCTGCAGTAACTCCACTGCATCGCTTTGGCTCCTGTAATACAGACAGTCATAACATTTCTGCTGTTCCAAAACACTGACTGGAATAGTTCATTAGTTCAGTAGCAGACTCCAAACATACCTTCTTCTTCGTCAGAGCTACAGACACTTCTTCTATTGTACACTCCAGCACCTTATGCGACAGCTTCCTTGGCCGCTTTCTTTCTTGGGTGATTGACGCCTTGTCTGAAGAGAGAGTAAATATATTATTCATCCTGCACACCGTGATAGTACGTATTGGTCTTGATGTAACATCCAGTCCAAAGACACACCCATTTCAGGAGGTAGATCACTTTCTACTGCTGCCTCTGTGTCAAGCGAGGGTCGTGTCGAGGTTGGAGATACTGAGCGTGCAACAGGAGAGAGTGTATCATGAGATGGACTCTGCTCCAGCTCTGACAGCGCCTCGGCGGGCTCCACAGAAGACGAGGATGAGGTAGTCGTTCCTGCTGTGGTGCTGACATCGTGGAGGGCGGCCATCATTGATGTCTGCTGTGAACACACAGGCAGGCGAAGCACCATTGAGTAGTACATACATAGAACATGAGATTCAAGAACACAAACATATTCAGAACGGCATGCTTATTGTGGTACACGTGTGTACTAATACAGATGTAAACTTGAAAATATCAATTACACGTTGAAGTCAAGCGAGAGAAAAAGGAAAAGCTTACCCATTTGGAAGATTCTGAGGTGTGTTTCTTTGATTTTTTTTTTTGGGCAAATATTTGTTCATACTCCTCCGTTGACTCGAGGAGCCTTTTTGTTGGTTTTCGGAGGCGTTTATTCTCTGAGTGTTCGGTAGGGGAAAAAAAAACACATGACATATATTTATAAGATATTACAGCCAGATGAGAAGAAAAAAAGGCTTCACCACACAAATACACAGATTTAGCAATTCTTCCCCATTGTAGTTTCCCAGTGAACAAACGTAACTCAGCAGTTATGTGACTTACCGGCGGAGCTGCTCGTGTCTGAGTTGTGCGAGTCATTCTCGTCCCTTTTCTCGACCCCTGGATCGAACTCCGGCGATGCTCTCACAGGGTAAGACCCGTTCGTGTCAGTCGATGCCCTGCAAGTAATTTCACCCCGACCCTCTGCAGTCTCATCCACCTGCTGCCAGCGTTTCTTTGGCGCCACGGCGGCTCCTGAGTTCTTCTTGGGGAAGCCGGCCTTGGGAACAGCCGACCCAGGATCAGCTAAGTCAGCGTGGCCACTCACAAACCCTCTGCCGTAAGCCAAGTCCGCCAGGTCCATAGACAGGCCTGGTATGCCGAGTTTAAGTTTGGCAGGAAGTTTTTGCTTTCTATGCTGCTTGTCTGAGCCTCTAGCCTTTAAGTGAACAGGGAAGTCTTCAAAGTGATAGGTGTCTGCTGACATGATAGCTTTAGTCCTACTCTTGGCTTTTAAAGCTCTGTTTTGGCTCTCCGTTTTAATCCCTTGAGTAAAAACCTCACCGGAAGCCTTCAGTGAGTCTCCACCTGTAGATGTAGGCATGACCAGAGGTTCCTCTTTGATCAGGACTGGTGATGGTGGCAGAGTGAGGGGCTTACCTTCCATTTCTCTGGTATCGTGCATGTCCTTCAGGAGCATGAGAAAGGTACTGAACTTATAATTAGAATCAGGTTGAAATGCATTCGACTCAGAGTCACTGCTGTCTTCTTTCACAAGAGATTTAAATGTCAGCTCTTTCGGATCCTGGAAAGCCTCCATCGGAGACAGAGATGAGGATGGGGAAGATGAAGATGGCCGATCGAGCTTTTCTATCTTAATTTGAACAGGTTGCACTGTGGGTAAACTAGTGCCGAAACTCTTGGGGTTCATCAATGAGCCGTTGTGAATGTGTTTCTTATCAGGCTTCCTTGCACGTCGTCTTGGAGGGCATGGCGCTTTGCTGGGTGATTCCCAGTGAGGAGAGATTTCAGCTTCGATTGGTGTACGAGTAGGTGCTTTATCAGGACAATCATCAGCGGGGGCATCTGTTAAGTTTTGGCTAGTTGCCAGTGCATCTTTAATATCCGTCTCTTCCTTTGCTCTCAGAGCCCGAGTCATCAGACCACTGCTGGCAGGAAGTTCCAGAGAGTGCTTTCCATTTGAACTGCTCGACAATTCATTACAGCTGCCAAAACTCTTCTCAGAGTTTGTTTCTTTTGATGTCTTTTTATTTAAAACACTAGAAGAGTCACAGGTATCGGCGGAACGATTTGCTCTTTCAGTAAACTTTGTTTTAGTTGAACCCTGTTCTTTCCAGATGAATCTGTCTACATCCGGTGTTGGAGACGTCGCTGTGCGTTTAGGACGGTGCAGCATTGGGACAGAATCCATGTCTGCATAAGGTGAGTCCTTTGGCTCATCTTTCAGTGCATGATTTGTAGTATGAACCTGATCCACAATGTTTGTAATAATAGATCCCTCCTTTGAACCACCGACTATGTGTCCAAATATGTCTGACAAACATTTCTTTTTCTTCTTACAGTATTTGCTCTTGTTGGGTTGAGTTGCGGCAGAGTTCTTGATGAGATAAGGCTCATTTCCATTGGGGCCTTTAAAGGGTGAATGAGTTTGATTCCGATCCATAGAGACAGAGGGAGACTCCTGTGGCTTTTCAGCACACACCGGGCTGGGCACACGCTCCTCTCCATTGACAGATAATGAAAGAATGCTTTCAGTATTCCTTTGTCGATGTTGGAGCAGATACTCAGCTTCCGCTACACTGACTTTCCAAGCCGTCAGTAAACTTTTCGGTATCTGCCGAGAGTAGAAAAAAAACATGTTATTAAACATTCACAACAATGTTATATCTGATACCTGACAAGAGATTTTACAAAATTACCAAATATTTGTAGTTTTTCTCCTTCTGCTTCCCTCTTCGTCTGAGAACTGGAAGCTCTTCAAACTGATGGCCTCCTTCAAAAAGATGAATTGCAGTGCCTGGGACCCAGGCCTTCTCTGCAACCTCACCAAGCATCTCCAGAAAATACATCCTACAAGGACGGGGACTGGGAACTGAAAACCAATTAGAAGTGGACTTATTAGTTACCCTGCACTTACTGTACAAATCAGTTTTTAACTCTCAGCTAGCCCGGTGAGTTTCCAAAAACAAACTGAAAACAAAATCCAAACTCATCAAATCCTTTAGTCACTCTTTATGAATGAAAACTCACCTTTCATCTTAGTGTGGGTCCCCTTGTCCTGATCACATGTGACATGGCAGGGCCACCAGGGCCGTCTGTTAAATTTAGCCCACACCAAGTCCCCTTCCAAGTATTTCACTGCAGGAAGAGGCTTTTTCTTTGGGCTGTTTGACTAAACAGACATTAAAACATATTTTAACATTTCATACAGAAAACCCTGGAACTTCATTTCATTTTGTTTGCAGCAAAGTTAAATCTTGTCATCATTGAAATGAAACTATCCGTAATAGCAGATCAAAAGACAAAATCTTCAAGTGCATTATTTAATTTGCAAGGTAATCCCAATACTTTGTGGTGTTTTTCTTGTGGTCATATTGAAAACTGTCACTCCCCTCTCTGGGTAAAACTCATGACTGAAAGATCAATACAATTAAATTAGAACATCTTTGAAAGAGTTCAACAACAAGCTGCTCCTAGCTGGGACTGTTATAACTAAATTCAAGTTTAATATCACTTTAATACACAGCATAGTGGCTTATTTTCTCCCTGGAAAACAAACAAACCCTGGCCTTGGTTGTATAAACTTTCAAAGTAATTATCTTTGAGGTTTAAGACTCACGTTGGAGTTGGTCCTGGCTGGTGAAATAAGTCCAGGGTCAACAGGAGAGGTAAGTTCATCCTCACTCAGTGATTCCTCACCCAAACTCCAACCATCTCTCATAGTGATGTCTGGCAGTGCGCTGGGGCTTAGTGTAGGGTTGAGTTCGGATATAGTTTTGGACATCAGATTAAACACAGTAGGTTTGTACGTTATTTTATCCCCCCCTGAGCTGCATGCGGTCCTGCTGTCAGAAACAGTCCAGTCCTTACTCAACTTTTTGGGGTGGTGAAATGGCACCAGCTCGTCACTACTACAGTGCCCCCCCTCCTCATCCTCCTCCTTAATGTCACTGCTGTCAAACAGCATGGACTCAAAATGCAGGCAGCCATTGGGGATGGGAGAACAGCGCTCCAAGCTGTCCGGACTGTTAGGGGAGAAGCCATTTCTTCTCACATCCTGCAGCGTCTCCAAGGACTCCACGTCATCATCACCTGGAGAGAGAGGCAACTGGACTGAGGGTGCCTCGAACTCATCATCACTGATGGGGATTGCACAGTGGAAGTGGTTGTTGGGATGGAGGTCCTTCTCCAGGTCAGGCCTGCTGACCACAGTGTTCAGGTCGTGCAGCCTCCTCAGGGGATTGTAGCAGTGTGACCGGTTAGTCTGGTTGTACCCCAGTACAGCTGGAGGTTTGATGCTGGAGGACGGCAGCTGCACGGCTGACTGTTGGTCCGACCCTCGCCTCACGATGCCACATTGGTTTCCATACGAAGTGCTCACAAGACCATTGTGGGGCCTCAGCTCTGGCTGGCCTGAACCAAAAACCGAGCCGACCCTGACAGGCGGTCTGTGTGACTGATTCATGTTGTCACGGCTGTATCCTGGCACAAAAAAAAAAAAAAAGTGGTTGGTTAGGCAAGTCTTTCACTTATTTGTGGATTTTATAAAAAGGCATGTTTACTGTATTAATCATCAACAAAGTATGCAGACAGACCAGACACACATAAACATTACGGAAATAGAGCTGCATTATAACACAGAGTCTGACAGAAACCTAAAAAGGAGCATACCAGCCATGGACTGAGCGCACACACACACACACACACACACACACACACACACACACACAAATAAGCCGACATTGCATGGCCTCCATACTAGAGGCCGGTCGAGCAAAAACCGAGAACACAACCACTGCCCCTCTCCTCTTAACACATTTCATTCACAAACAATCGGAAAATCGCAGCGCTTTGTCCGGTGTTTGTGGGTCATGACTATCGCTGACTCGCACAGTCAATGGAGGAGCGCTGAGTCTGTGTTAGAGGTGGTGACACTGAGCCATCACAGACACACACACACACCGAGAGGCTCGCACAAACAAGCTACAGCCATACAGAGGAAGCTACTATAAACACACACAACAACAAACAAAACAAAAAAAAACAGGGCTGGTCGCCTTTAAGTTCACAACACGTGGAGAAAGGCGAAAAAAGAAAAAAAAAACTCACCATTTGGAGGACGGTCACCGTGAAGCCAGCAGCGGATGTTTGATAATGTGGCACAAAGCGAGGGCTTTTCTCGGTTTGAGAGAGCGGATCTGCACAATCCGGGCTGCAGCAGCAGTAGTAGTAGGCCCAGGCACAGCTCTCATTCTCTGCACTTCATCGCCTTCATCAGCGGCGGCCCCCTGGAAAAAAAAAAAGCTGTCACCTTAGATACAAAACAACAATTCTATGTCCGGTGCGCTGCAACATCATACAGCGGCGAATATCAGTGTGTCACCACCGGTCCCCTATCATCCAGCAGCTTATTTACTACATGCTTTTTTTTTTTGCCTGCTGTCGAAGTGCCCCCGGTTATGTTAAAACAAGCCCAGGCTGACTGTGTTGGTGAGCAGCAACCAATCGGCACTGCTACCCAACCCCCCGTCTGCAGAGGGCCGTGACACTCACCCTGCTCACACTCGCACGCACGCTCGCCCGCCCGCCCGCACGCGCGCACACTTACAACCACTCACGCACACAAGCATTGACACGCGCGCATGCACGTACATCCAGGTGAAGTTTCTGGTAGTCGCTTGGTTTAAAATAAAAAAACAAACAAAAAAAAAACTAGATGATATAGTACTCACACACGAATGATTGACCTGTATGAGATTTGCCCTATTTCTGCGCCTCTCCCATTGTATCTGAGTATGACTGGTGCAGGCCCGTGTTTCACAGATCGAGACAACAAAATGATAGCAGTGCGCGCACAGCCTCACGGCCTCTCCGACCATACCAGACTACGCGCGCCATGTTGCCTCTCTACTACAGAGTCCTCTGACGCGAGGAAACAGGCCGCTAGGAGCTCAGGAAAAGGAGATGAAGAAGGTGGCTCGAGCCTTAACGTGCTATAAACGCGGAGTATTTGCGATTCAAACTTCAGTTGTCGACTGACCATGACAATGACATGTATTAGGATTTTCTATGCGCAAAAAATAATATAAACGCGCAAACTTGGAGAGCACAATAGGGCTCGCTGGAGTGGGCCAGTCCTAAAGATGAAACAAAGAACATTCAGCTTCACACAACGACGACCTGACAGGAACTTAAATCTCTGTGCGGGTCTTTTTTATGGCCCACATAACGTCAGGGTTGTTCGCACAGCTCTCTTAATATCTCTAACCTTTATGGTGAATGATCCGGAAGAAACACCAGATAGATTTCACAAAACGTATTCACACCCCTTTATGGACCAGATGTGCAGCGTTTACGTTAAAACATGACCCTAAGTGAAGGATTTTTAACCAATCCTTCGACTCACTGTGTGGGGATAGTCCTAAAAAAGGCCAACGCTGCGTTATTTTATTTTACAAGGGGTAAATAAAGTCAGTTTTACATATTTTTTCATTATCTTACGAGCCCTCTAGTGTCGGAACAAAGAATAACATGGTTTCGATTTGGCACGAAAATAGTTAAGTGGAAAAGACTTTTATTTTGGTTTCACATACAGCACATAAGCATTTGTTAAATATTTCACAAAACTTTTTTCTGTTTTTCAAGTCATTTTTTTTTTTTTCAGATGAACATCATAGCAACATACATGTACACTTGGAAATGTTATCAAGTGAGTTTGGGAAGAAAACACAGCTATCGTTAGAAAACATAATAAAAACTGTACTCACAAAGTGCAAAAGAACAATTTCTTTATATAATGCATTGATTTTTACCAGCTCAATTTAACATGTATCACAGTCTTCCTATTTTGGGCAAGACGTGGGATAACATCACAAAGTAAAACACATAGTGGACTGGACAACACAGATAGGACAATTACATATCCACAAAGTCATTATGTTCCAGAAAAAAAAGCTGAATTGGTTTGCTGCTTGTACTAAAATGTAACTTTCAATGATGTAGAAAATGTCACAAGAAACCGACCACATAAATATCAAAGTGTAGTGTGAGAACATGTCAAAACTAAAAGGAAGAAATGTAAGAGGGGAAACTCTCTGAGGTTTGAAACAGCTAAATACATTTGTTGCAGATAGTGATCGGTGTAATTCATTTATATGCATGCATTTCAGTTATTATAGGGTGAGGACAATGTCAAACAATGTACATTGGAAATTCAATCAGAGCCATCTTTAGAGACTCAAAGTTCTTTTCCAGGTGTTTCAGAGAAACTTTTCCTTTCCCTGCCCATGCACCCAAATGTTTCCCAGCTATTCACTGGCTTCATCTACTTTACCACTGGGCTCACAGAGGGGTCTTTTCTCCATCATGTTGTATGGAAAAGACGGAACATCACAACTAGTGAAGTCCAGTTTCTTGGGGACACTGCAGTTGCTAAAGTCAAGTTTCTTGGCGCTGTCACAGTCAAACTCAAGCTTCTTGAGCCGAGCTAGACTTTTGATGCTGCCGGGGGGCCTGCCGGGGCTGACCTTGTATCCTGCTGCTTTGGTTGTACCAAGGGGTCTCCCAGGGCTGGTTTTAAACCCGGCCGCTCTAGTTGTCCCAAGTGGCCGTCCAGTACTTGTGCGGTAACCAGCTGACTTTGTGGTTCCTGATGGCCTCCCTCTCCGCCCTGATTTCACCATGCCCTTCTTCTTCTTAGAGCCATCTGGTCCTGCATCCTCGCCGTCCCCGATCCTCACCGTCTGGATCTCGAAGTCCGCCTGGTTGTCTTGCATTTGACATGCCATGGCCTTGTGCATGCCCTGTGGTAAAGGGGCTAGGCCTGCAAGGGACAGCTGCAGACCATGGGCTGTGGCAGAGGGGTAGAATTTGTTGGATTGAGTGCTGCATAAATCAAAGTGGCTGGCTGGATGACAGTCCTCTGCCAGCCCACTCATGCAATAGTCACTGCTGCTGCTGGTCACTTGATGCATCATTTTCTGTAGAGTTCAGAGAAGTGCAGTGATTAGAAAGGAGGGCCGCACAAGCACCCTGACAAACACAATACCAAAGAAGCATTTCGAGATGCTCACTTTTGCTGGAGCAGGCAGGCCTTTCAGCGTTACACATGTGATGTCAAGACAAAGCGAGCTGAACTGCAGCTTTCAGCTTTCAAAATAGAACTTACGGCATGCACGGAAAAACATGTTACTGGTTTTTTCCTGAAATACTCAGCTATTTGAATTACGTAAAGTGAAATCATCGTACCTCATTTGTTGGTGGATGGTTGACAAGAAAGGGTTAATTTGGAATCGGATACATTTTCTTTCTGTGGCAGCCCCATCATGATTGGAAAAGCGCTGCACAAACTACGCCCGGACGTCCATTCTTTTGTCTACAAGCGGAGCTGATATTTCTGCTGTCTATTTCATGCTCATCTAATCCTAGAGGTAGAGGTTAAGATGAGAGAGGCAGCCATTTTCGCCTGGAAAAAATAATAAAATAAAACAGGATGCGTGATCCGCGCATGCGCACAATCGACTTCAGGAAACCCAGGAGACAATGATGGTTGGATTCATGGATTCTGCCAAAATAAGACTACATTATAACCAGTGTAATAGCAATTTGGACTCCGATGTTTATTTAAAATATTTCAAACGCCAATCCAGGAACAATATATACGATGACAATGCGTATTTTAAATTAATTTGGCTGCTTACTAAAACATGTTTACATCATCACTGGTCACGAAACTGCCAATTAGGTAACACGGTAAAAACAAAGATTAATGACAACACCAGACCATTTTTTATATTTTATTAATGTGTTTTATTAACATCCACATGAACTTAAGCACAGACACTGGATCAATGGAGCAACTGCAGTGCTAGAGCAGGTAGCAATATACATTTATCAGCATTTCCCCCAATGGTCGTTTCCAATCATATATCAGTCCACAGGACTTAGGTTTCCTTGATGAGCTTGGTCAGCTTGTGAATCTTTGTTTTGGTGGACATGTCCACATACTTGTCTCCGATACTGACGATCATGCCACCCAGGATTGAAGGATCCGACTAGGAGAAAAATTAAATTTAAATTCACGTTTGTAAATAGACAGTTATAACATCTGCTCAATGTTTTTTTATTTTATTTGAATGTTCCTTGGAGTTGCACTGACATCATACCTTTGTTTCAAGTTTGATAGATTCACCCTTCTGAAGAAAGCCGTTGAGAGCTAATTTCAGCTCGGAAAGACTGGCTGCATCTAAAGGCTGAAATGGATAAGTACATATATTGGTTGATCCCAATAAAAATAATAGAATCCATCATTTATAAGTGAATGACACATAATATAGTGATGTTAATTGAGGCAAAAAAGAGTTGTTGTAGATTGAACAAGGATTTGCAAGCACATTTAATGTTTGTTCATCAATTTCATACCTGAGCAGTAGTAACGGAGCAGATGACCTCTCCACGGTGTGCGCCCATCATCTTTCCGAAAGCACTGATAACACTCCCAGTTAAGGGAAGACGACCATTTTCAGCCAGAACGTCTACCAAACAATAAAACAAGATATGTTACAGCGTGACGCACCACTTTGTCTCCCTGCGGCACAAATAAACAGCCCTCAGTTTAGACAATGTTGTGCTGAATGATAGAATAGTGTAAAGAATCCATATTTTATCACATCAGTTTAAGTTAAGTAATGGGTTGTTTGTGATTCCATCAAACATATTTTCATTTCGATGTCATGTTCAAAAACATACACATTTAAGTTGATTTATCCAATGGCTAATTAGAGCAATACTGCTCTCCAATGAAGCGTGGAGCCTACAAATGTGAATTAGAATTACCAGCATCATTATTCATGTTTAAGAATTGTTTTATTATTTTGGGGACTTTTATGCCTTTATTGTAGAGACAGGACAGAGGATAGAGTCGGAAATTGGGATTGAGAGAGAGTGGGGAATGACATGTGGGAAAGCAGACACAGGCCAAATTAAAACCTAGGCCGCCTGCTTCAAGGACTATGTTGCCTATGTACATGGATCATGCAAACAAAAAACCACGAGGCACTTTTTTAGATATATTAACTCCTGCTAAACTAAATCCTTGCACATTTACTATCCTTTAAAAGCCCTAACACTCAACCGAATGGATTGTAGGTCTGAACACCCTAAGCCCAATGTGACCTCCACAAGTCCTCCGGAGGTCACGGAAACCAGGCCAAATTCATTCTAAAAAAATTAGACCATTGACACCACAAAATAGCCATTCTACCCACACTAATCTTACTTGGTACAACCAACAATAAATATATATCTGTGTGAGTCGAGGGCACCAAACTTGTATCATTTGGTAGTTATGATATAACTACACATTGCCTCTGAGATTCAACAACACTGAAAATGGTTTGCTAGGTTTTGGTTTCTGTGAGCCAACTACAGAAAGTAACTGCATAAAAAAACATTTTAGATGAAAATAATTTAGTGTATGTACTCTGTGTGTTGGTGTTCTATGGCAATTTTATAAGTCACCTATTTCATCAGCACAAGTGAAAAATGCTTCGATTGACCGCTACACATAAACCAAACAAGCTGAAAGGGAGGGGGAAAAAACCAAAAGTGGGTATAGGGCCACCATGCCAGGGTCAGTGATCACTTACTGATGAAGTTGATGATGATGGGTGAAACCTTAGCCTTTGTAAGAGCATCTCCAAAGACCTTCAGCTTGAGGCTGCGCTTTACATGAGGATTCATTACAATGCTCGAAAGCTTGGGGTCTTTGATCAAGGCCTAAAGAAGAAATGAAACACAGTTAAAGTCAACTGAAAACATGTACTAGAATACAGCTGGTTAGAAGGGGCTTGCATTAAATAATTATCATGAAACTTATTAGTCAGATAAACACATCTGATTAAGATCTTTAAATTGTAATTTAACTACATTTAAAAAAAACAGACAAAAAATAAAAAGTAGGGCTATACTGTTGAGGAAAACACTACTTTCATCACCCATTGAGTTTCACATCATAACACGAGTTCAATGTGTTATTTTGACTTACAGAGACATTTCCCAGCTCCTGCTCCACTTGGTCCAGTTTCTTCTGCTTACTGGCAGCTGAGAAGAGAGCGGTGGCATAGCGGCCCTCAACTCCATACACCTGGATGGGGGGCTAGAGGGAGATATATGATCAGATATACAGATCAGATTAACCAAACTACAGGGACATATTACTCCACATAGCCGACTATCTGCAGTCTTGAATAATCGGTTAAGCTTCATGCAGTCTAAACTTGATTTACCTTGATCAGTTTTGCAACAGGTCTGGCCACAGACGAGCTGAACTGACGGACCTGGAAAACAGAAAATGCATCATATCAGCAAAGAGAAAACACGAGTTTAGCTGATCAACTTCAGGCACGCTCTGTACCATTTACGTTAAAGACAGCTAGCGTGTAAGCTAACGTTAGCAGTCATTCAAGTGCAAATCCTCGTGTGTATTTGTTTGCCATTCAATACTACCCCCTAGTCTCCAGGGAAAATATACTACTTAAGACATGTTTTTGTAATGTAAAGAATTGGTTAAAACTATGAATACATGATCAAAATGACAAAAATCATTGAATGTCGTACCTGCTGTCCTAGCATGAGTGCTGCCATTTTCTCCTACAGCTGTCCAGAGTAGAACAATCGACTGCGCATGTGCATTTGAGAGGGAAGCGTCTAGCGAGCTCTCTCTTCCTGTGGGTAATGTAGTCTTTTAGGTCTGGCGCGTTCCGACCTAAAATTTAGCCTATTTATGGTTCTGAGTGACATAGTTAGGAAATAAGGCTATCAAATGGACAACTACAAAATCTGTACGATGATTCTGTTGATTGAAAATGTAATCTTCTTGTTACCATCAATGTTCAGGCGCATTTTACCTATTACCTACAAGTTGTAGTTCATTTGGTATCTATGTAGGCCCACAGTCTAAAGTATATCCATAAAAGAAGGCAAATTCCTTTAAAAAAATAATAATAATAATTGATTTAATTAGTAACTTAATAACCAGATGATTAAAAAAAAGAATGACCCTTCAGCCACAACAGACTCTGAGGTTTTGTGTAGCTCACTTGCCAGTTAGGCCTTTAAGAGTTGGTATAAATGTCATTTACTGTTTTTTTGTAGGGCTACAACAGGCTACTTGCTAAATTGATATTAAAGAGACTGGTGTTGTTTGATATTATATTTAGTTAGTTCTGTCAAAATTACAGGCTGGTTTTATGATAAAAATATATGAAATTAATCTTGACAGCAGTTTTACAGTTAGCCGAGTTTGTTCATGTGAGCTTACAAACAACACTTCTGGGCTCAATTATTAGGCTACAAAGTTTTTCTATGAGCAGTGAAATGTTAACCTATGGTCTAAACTCTAAACCCCCTGCAAATTTTATTTCAGCTGTTGGTCCTGACTGTTCCTGGTTCTGCCAGTAGAGGGCAGTGGCCTACAACAAGCAAATACGAAAGAGACGCAACTCCCCTTCTGTGGAGAGGAATTCAACTTTTAGCCCTCAAAATTATTACAAGTTAGTATCCCCAAATAATTAAGACTTCTCAAAAATGAGAACTTATTTCAAAATATTTTTTTCTTATCTCTTCTAATTATTATTTTACAAAATAAGCTACTATCTCAAAATAGTGGACATTTATTATAGTGGACAAATATTGAGATTTCCCAAAATAATTGTTCAGTAGGCTTAAAATTGCGAGTCAATATCTCAATTAGAGGCTTATTGCCTCAAGAAAATATTTAAAGATAAAATTTAAATCTAAGTGGTCAAAAGCTATGATTAGTTAAATCATTTCATGTCACTACCATTCTATAAAGTTGTGTATCTTCACTATTAAATGGTAAAGTAAAAGCCCATCCTTCTGTTCTGTATGAGTTTGTGCATGTCACAAGGGTTCCTGGTGGTGTTGGGTCTTTGTTGAGTATGATCTAGACCTTTTGTACTTGACTTTATTTTGCAACATACTCTTTATTATTTACATTTGAATTGAACATTCAAATAACACTAAAATAATCCTATACTCTCTCCTCAAACCAGCTTTTCCAGCAAAAATTGATCAACAATTAGCCAATATTTAGAGACCCCCCCACCAACCCCCAATACGATATACCAGCTACAATTCGACTATTTATTGACAATCTAAATGCTTTTTGTGGCAGTCTAGAGGTTCATTTTGATAAATTATAATGCAAATAATTAAATGTTACAACCCTAAATTCAAAAAAGTGTGGGATGTTGTGTAGAAGGTAAATAAAACACAATGTGATGATTAACAAAACATTGAAACCCCATATTTGATTTAAAATAGCTAAAAGACGACATGACAAATGCTGAAACAGAAATGCTATTGTTTTTGGAAAAATATGTCCCCAGATGAGAACCAGATCCAGAAACGCTGCCTTTTCTGGGTCCTGGCTCATGTTTGGACTGAGTGGAAGTGGAAACTGTCCTGAGTCAGATTTTGACTTTCTGTTTGGAAATCCTGTCCGCCCTGTTCTCTGGGCTAAAGAGGAGAGGGACCATCCAGCTTGTTAAAATATAGTTCAAAATCCAGCGTCTATGATGGTATATGGTGTAGTACTGCACATGGCATGGCTTACCTGTGCATTTTTTAGGTCACCGATGCTGAACGTTATACAGATTTTTGAGCAACATATGCTGCCAAATCGACAACTTATTTTTCAAGGAAGGCCTTGCTTATTTCAACAAGACAATGCCTTACCACATTTTGCATACTCTGTATTAAAGATTCTGGGTGAACATAAAGACATAGTAGGCTAAAATCCTACTTTGAGCAGGGATTGTAAGAGATTCCACTTTTTAAATGACAGATATATCTTTCCTCAGTTTCCAAAAAAAGCAAAAAAGTGATGCAACTGAGTAATAAATATGACACTGTACCAACTATTTTGAAATGTATTGCTATAGCATTAAATTATTATTGTTTTCATTTTAATTAAAATAGTGGGTTTAAATGTTTTTCAAATCATTTTATTTGACATTACACAACCTTGGGGATGTATGAAGATGTTAATAATTAGGCTATTATAATTTATTATTATTCATCTTTATGTAGAAAAGTTGTTCTTGTAAGACGAATGTTGTTAGTTTTCCACCTGAAGGGCCCTTAAGGGGTGCAATGACGTAAATAAGATGTGTTGCTCTTGCCTGACAGTCTTGGGGGGGGGGGGTCTGTTTTATTTTCTAAAAACTCATTGTGTGATCTTGGGCGTAAGGAAGGGAAGTGTATCCTGTCTGTGCCATGTGAACTACAGGTTTTCGTCCCCACTAAACTGCAGGGACGCACGGCAATTGACGCATTCGTTTTCGCGTAGCACACACAAACACACACACACACACACACACACACACACGCGCACACACACGCGCACACATACATACGCAGCGAGTGACCAAGGAGCCTGCTAGGACGTAGCGCTGCCGGGCCATCAAAACGAACAGAACAGCGAGAGGTTTTCCCGACGGACTGTAAAAGCTGCTCGGCTCATTAGCTGACGGCAAACCAGGCATGGACGACAAGTCATTCACGAAGGAGTTGGACGGATGGATTGAACAACTGAATGAGTGCAAACAGCTATCAGAGAACCAGGTTAAAGTCCTGTGTGAAAAGGTATGGTTTGCGCAGGAAGGCGGCGCAGCTATCAGTCATTAGCTTTTCCCTCACGGTAGCGGACTTGTTCGCTGTTACAGCTCCTGAATCGTGTATAGAAGTATTTCCAGGTCTGTCGTCGGCTAATGCATGTGGCGTAGTGTTGGAGCACACCATTTGGCTGTAGCTGCCTGCAGTGTATTTTTTTTTTAAGGGACACCACTCGCCAAGAAGATGGAGGGACATGCCTGCAAATATGTTTTCCATAGCTACGCCCACTCCTGGTGCCTCTTCACTGGAGTGCACTGACACAAACTTCATATTACATGTCGTAGCCTTCACTGCTGAAATAGGATGTATATTCAGCTTTTCAATGCTTTAATGGGTTTTGACAAAAAAAACAACAACAATGCCATTTTGTATTCCTTAATAGCACCATACTCTGTGTTACATCTTAAGCATGATTTTTGTTCCTTCTTTCAAGGCTAAAGAGATCCTGACTAAGGAGTCAAATGTGCAGGAGGTGAGATGTCCTGTGACAGTGTGTGGAGATGTCCATGGTCAGTTTCATGACCTCATGGAGCTGTTTAAGATCGGGGGGAAGTCTCCAGACACTAACTACCTCTTTATGGGAGATTATGTTGACAGAGGATACTATTCTGTGGAGACTGTTACTCTATTGGTCTCTCTTAAGGTAAAATCTATATTTGTACATTATGTTGGATTGGAAACAAGCAGGGATAATATTTGGGAGTTATGAAATGATGATCTTACTAATCTTGTCAATTAATGCCTTTTATGTAGGTACGGTTCCGCGAAAGAATCACGATTCTCCGAGGGAACCACGAGAGCAGACAGATCACACAAGTTTACGGCTTCTACGACGAGTGCTTAAGGAAATATGGAAATGCCAATGTTTGGAAGTACTTCACAGATCTGTTTGATTATCTGCCCCTTACTGCGCTAGTAGATAACCAGGTGAGGTTGTGGGTGTGTGTGTGCTATGATGTGTGCATGGATAAAAAAAGACTAATTCACTGGGGCGCTTGGATGGCCTAGCTGTTATGTCACGCACCCCATGTGCAGAGGCTGTAGTCCTCTTTGCAGCAGGGCTCAGGTCTGGCTTCGGCCCTTTGTTGCGTGTCATCACACGCTCTCAGGGTTTCTTGTCCCTCTTCAGCTGCAAAAATTGCCCCCCCAAAAAAAGACTAATTAATTTATGTTCTTTTACATCTATAAGATTTTCTGCCTCCATGGAGGATTGTCCCCTTCAATAGACACACTGGAACACATCAGAGCGCTGGATCGCCTGCAGGAGGTTCCTCATGAGGTAAATTCTCCCTTAAAGGTCCCTTATATGATTTATTCCTCTGACTTATTTATCTTCAAACATTTATTTCAAGGAGTTGGACTGTGTATGTAGCTGCAAGAATGCAAACAACAACACTACTGTTGCAGTATTTACACATTTAACAAATCTATGTCTACAGTTTACATCTTAAAAACTAGAAAAATAATTTTTAATAATCCAAAAAATTATAAATAATTGATGGTATGTTTGAAGGGAAAAAAAATACAGCTAGAAGCCTTTCAGATATCATATTTGCTGTTTTTTTTTTTTATATTCCTGTATGAAATTTGACTGAGCTTTGAGAAATTGTGATGGTCATTTTTTTTTGATCAAGTGATAAAGAAGAAACTAGAATGTAGACTGATCACTAATGTAAATAGTTTTCATTTGCTGCTCTAATAAGGTTGATGCCCACACACAACTGCAGTTTTATTTGATTATATTTAGCTTGTATAGTTGACAAAACACAAGTTGTTTTTCTCCCATTCCAGGGTCCAATGTGTGACTTGTTATGGTCGGACCCAGATGATCGTGGTGGCTGGGGTATCTCACCCCGTGGTGCTGGTTACACCTTCGGGCAGGACATTTCAGAGACTTTCAACCACGCAAATGGCCTGACTTTGGTTTCAAGAGCCCACCAGCTGGTGATGGAGGTACTTCTACTTTGTTTAGTTTTACTTTTTGCTTAGAGAGACAATGCCTGTGCTGCTATGACATAACATGTTATCAATTTAAAATGTCTAGTTCTTGTTTATTGTAATACTATATCATTATTCCTCTAATATAAGCTCTAAAGGCATCCCAAATATAAAAAATGTAACATACAAGTACTCTCTTGATCTAGGGTTATAATTGGTGCCATGACCGCAATGTAGTGACCATCTTCAGTGCACCAAACTATTGTTATCGTTGTGGAAACCAGGCAGCAATCATGGAACTTGATGACACATTGAAATACTCTTTGTAAGTAAATCATTTTGATTTCAATGTGCTGTTTGTTTGAACTTTTCTTAGTCTCAAAACGTGAGTTGAATTCTGTCTTTGCCTGTTTCAGCCTTCAGTTTGATCCTGCACCACGCAGAGGGGAGCCACATGTGACGCGGCGTACACCGGACTATTTCCTGTAAAGATCACTAGCGACATGAAAAGTGAAGCAGTCAAAACCCCATGGACCAAAAATAAAAGTGTGCCATAATCACAATGAAATGGAAACTAACACATCTAGCTAAAGAACACCATCCTTTCAACTTCTCTCTGTGCATGCTGTTTTTATTGCTATGAATTATTGCTACTATGAACAATACTGTCACATTACCTGCTGGTTTGTCAGGAAACATGAATGAACTAATGCTCAGATTAATGGCTAAATCTTTCTGTTAGAGTGTTGATGGTGACCAGTGTGTATCCATATACAGTATCTGTCTGCATCTTTCACTTGGCATGGCCTCAAATCAAAGGTTGCAGTAATTAAACGTGAACTGTTTTTATTTTTTTGTAACTGAAGCACAACTGTTTATTTTGTGTACTGAGGTGTTAGGGGTGGACTTCTGGTAATGAATCTGTTCTATTTGAACTTTTGTATTTCATTTTTATCACACAGCACTGAAAGACTATGTTCTTTTTTTATACCCTGTTATAGTAAAAGTAGCTCTCTTTCTGCTCTGCTGTCTCTCATGGGAGTAAATGTCATTCATTTAAATGGGCAATATTGGTATAAATTATGTCAGTTGTAGAAAACTTATTAACTTGCTGTTTTGCAGTCACAGCTATACAAAATAAAGACCAGTGCTTCGTCATTTATTTTTTCTAGGTGTATGGTTTGTGGCATTATTCCCTCTCACAAGCCACCACTAGATGGAATCAGAAGCTCAAAAAGACCCACTACCTGTCAATCTATACATGTGTGCAGAAAAATGGGTAATCTTATTGTTTTTATTTTCTTATACAGCCATTTGGTTTATTATACATTTCAAACCTAAAAGGCATATCATTTTGCTTTATGCTGTGGTATGTTTTTGTGTTATGTTTTTCATATGCTTTTATATATTTATTTGGCATGAACCAAAGAATGCTTCTTTTAACTCTTAAGTGACACTATATCATCATCTCTTATAATATCAAGCAGGTGTACATAAAGTCGTGTGTGTGTGTGTAAATCCAAAGTTTTACCAGTTATTAATGATTTACTACCATTGAATCAACGTGACGAAAATGTCGGCGCACTGACGGATGTAATGCTCAGTTAATTGCTGAAAATAAAAGCTTCATTTGAAGTTCGGCATGAAATAAAACATAACTGGCAACTCACACGTTCACTCAGAAATATGTTGTTTTTTTTTAAAGTAGAATTTATTTATTCAAATACCTTACTGTTCTCAAATGGTCATTTATTATCATGCATGCGTATTTTTTTCCCCCAGTGTTAGGTGCCGCTTTGAGGCAGGGCTTTTATTTTGTCGTCGTGGTTCCTGACACTGGGGGATGTGCCTATTTGTGCTGTGACGCTGCTGCATGTAAAATTAGCTGGCTGCAGCCTTTCAGGGACACCTCTTGCGGACCGCTGGAGCCCACAGTGCAGTAAGTAACCTGTCTGTATTTTTTAAAATGGATCCAGTAAGGAGTCGACTTATAAAAGAGCATCATGCACTTTGTGCCTGAGCTCCGGGGAAACTGTCATTAGACGGGTTGGCAGTCCGCTGGATGTGTGGATGTGGCAGGCTGATACTAGTTGAATCTGGAGCGCACAGCTGGACAATTATCGGGCTGGACAGATGCCATGCTTAATTAGTCGCTTTTAAATTGATGCTATTTCCTTTTTTTCCCCCGCCGTTTGCTGAATGTGAAATCGCTTTGTGCAGATGCAGTAACACCTCCAGTCACAGTCCAGATTTGACTGGTCTACGGCGGGCTGAACAATTAACCGTATCCAGTCAGGGAGCCTGTTTATTTGCCCTGCGACCACAGAGCAGTGCAAAAAAAAAAAAAAAAAAAAATGTTAAATACAAAAACAATCGTAGCTTAAATGTCTAGTATGACGTGCTTGACCAAGTAGGCTATTTTTGTATCACAAAAAAAAATGTAAGGAGATGTTGTGAATGCAGGTTAATGTGTAGCCACGCAGGCCTCCTTTGATTGGCTGAGAGTGAGGGCAGAAGCAGCTGAGGGTTTGTAGCTCGAAGGCCACGTTAGTCCAAAGTTCATTCCTCTGATATCACCTTTTATTGCTAATGAAGCCAATATTAATACCATTTAAAACAGGATGTGTCTATTAACCACTTTTTTAAAAACGTCCATTGAATTCAGTGTTTTATTGGATGAACTGAGAAAGGGAAGCTTTGTTGTCATCTCGTGAGAACCCTATGGAGTTTAAATTCAATTTAAAGAAACAGCACGCCTCCTGCACGCCTGCAAACAAGAGACTTCACTGTGTTCTTGTCAATTCAGCAGCCATCTTTGGTGCAATTTGAGGTGGAATTTCATCATGCTGCTACTGCAGGTCCTTGCACTGACTTGCTGCACTCCGGTGTCACCCTGTAGTTGATCTGGAACACAACACAAAGAAGAAGAAAAAAAACCGATCAGACTGGGGGGGGTTACATGGACCAACACACAGGGGAGTGTTCTTTCAGTGCAGGTCACGCTTATCTTTTTTTAGTTGGGAAATCATAAATGCCCCCTATCTGTATTTTTTTTTATTCATAAACACTGACCAGCGGTGGTGACTATAGACCAACATGCTGCATAACTTGCTCAGTAAAGTCTCACACAATTTGTTGTTCATTGAAAGAAGTCAATGCTTAATTCAGCTATTCACAGACTCACGCAGGCGGCTTTGTCACTCCCCAAGAGCTGTTTTCAGCCATAGTTGTGGGGGGGTTGGTGTGCACTCGTATAGGGCTCTGCAATTTAGTGCTTCACAACCCTCCTGTCAGGTCAGCCATAACCATGGCAACAATATGCTGAATAAGCACCATGACAATCCAAACAGGGGCTTTTATTTTCACTAGTCCTCCTACATTGACTACTGTCTGCAAAAAAAAAACAAGAAGTAGAGGCCTGTAACTCCAGGGGTGAGAGCTGGAGCCGTATCCTGCAAAAATAAACAGTCAATATCATCCTTATGTAACACAATCATTTTGAACGATTAACCCTCATTATTCATGTAGCCTACATGTTACAATACAGCGGCTTAAATTAAGCACTCCTGTGCCACTTATTTATTTATTTAAATGTTTTGAATCATTATTTCCTCTTAATTGTGTCACCGCCTCATATGATTATTGTAACACCTTTTTTTTTTTTTGTCTGCAGATAAACATGGCAGCAGAGCTCTCCACTTCCATTAACATCAAGGAGCCCCGGTGGGATCAGAGCACATTCGTAGGTCGGGCTAAACATTTCTTCACTGTCACTGACCCCAGGAACATCCTCCTCACCAATGAACAACTAGCTCATGCACACAAAGTCATCACTGAGTACAGGTAAATAAAGGTGCAGCTGCAGTAGCTGGAGCAATTTGCCAATAACAAGGATGTCAACTCAATGCTGTTACAAGATGAATTTGCTTTATATGTTACCTTCACTGTCGTCTAGGCAAGGTATAGTGTCTCCAGGACTGACAGAAGATGAGCTGTGGAGAGCCAAGTATGTTTTTGACTCTGCTTTCCATCCTGACACTGGGGAGAAGATGATCCTGATCGGCCGCATGTCGGCGCAGGTTCCCATGAACATGACCATCACTGGATGCATGATGACATTTTACAAGTAAGAAGCCATGAATGAATGTATAAAATGTAATTTTGTGTTAACTAATTTTCATTAGGTTGGTTATAGTTTCTGTTTTGGGGATGTTGTATTTTTAGGTGTTGATAATGTCATTTATAATTTTTTTGTTTTCATGTATATTAAGAGATCTGGATGATGTGAGTGATGACACCTATAGTTAATACAGTACATGCACCATTTTTCACCAGTGTGCGGATAAAGAGAGAGGCTGAGTGGGTTGCTGTATTTGTTCTTAATTGCTTTTTTTTTTTTTTTTTTTTTTTAGATTGCTGTCATTTTGCGTATCTTTTTGAATGTTATATTTAGTCAATCCAAATCTTATTAAAGTTGACAGCACATCAGGCAGTAAAAAACAAGGTCTGACCTCAGCCTTTCAGTGACAGTGTTATTACTGAAGTTCAAAATTGCCACAACAAAGACTACTTAAAGTACTAGAACTTAAAAACGTACATTTTCCAGTTTGATGAGTCTGTGGTCCCTTTTCTCTTTTTGTGCTAATGACTCCACTGTTTTCAATCCTGAAGGACAACTCCAGCTGTGTTGCTCTGGCAGTGGATCAATCAGTCTTTCAACGCAATAGTCAATTACACCAACAGGAGCGGTGATGCGCCGATCACAGTCAGGTAAGAGACACACATTTTTGCCACTGACATATACATCATATTAACCCTTTTTAAAGCAGTACCTCTTGTGATTTTTCGTGATGTAACCATTGACTCTCTTGTTTGCAGTCAGCTTGGCACAGCTTATGTGTCTGCTACCACAGGGGCAGTTGCCACCGCTCTAGGACTAAATGCACTAACAAAGGTATCAGTTCATGTAACCCCATTTTAGATATCATTTTAATGTATCCACCTCAACTACATGGGTGAAATTAGTCACTCACAAATAGTGTCTTTGTGATAGAAGAGCCTTGTTATTTACAGAGTCGTGCTCTGGTATCAGCATGTCGGCCCTCCTGCTTTTATAATGACACTGCATTGAGAAAACTACATGTACAACATGAGAAATATAACCTGTAATTACCCTCAGACCTGCACTAGTCTGATGAGTTAAATGAGTGTGCTCTTTATGCCTCCTCTCTCCTGCTGTAGCACATCTCCCCCCTGATTGGCCGGTTTGTTCCATTTGCTGCTGTAGCTGCTGCTAACTGTATCAACATCCCCCTGATGAGACAGAGGTAACCAAAGCACAGCATTGTTTTTAATCATGTCGACAACTGCAAAGTATAATGACTGTGACCTTGAGGCAGCACAACACAAACTGACATTAAAGGCCCATTCCTTTTTATGGGTTTAACAAACGGTCAGTTAATTTGATTTTCATCGCTCCTTGCCTTCAGGGAACTTCAACACGGCATTCCCATCACAGATGAGAACGACAACAGGATAGGAGAGTCAACGAAAGCTGCGCAGCAGGCTATCTCTCAGGTCGTGGTCTCCAGAATCCTCATGGCTTCTCCAGGAATGGGTATGATTATCTATGGATTTTCAGTCCTTGATGTGTGGTCTGTTAACCCCTTTAGTATCCCCATGGCATTGTTTAAGTTAAAGGAAAAACATGAAATGAAGTTTGGATATTTTGGTTCAGTATTTTGTGAAAATACTTTGTGCATTGATATTTGCTGTGTGTCTTCTCAGCTATCCCCCCGTTTTTAATGAACCATTTGGAGAAGAAGGCTTCCTGAAGGTAGGCTTTTTATTTTTATTTTAGTTGCATCAGCTGTTACACTACAGAGGGCTTCAGGATTTTTTTTTTTATAATACAACAAATGTCAAAGTTAAATTATCAGAACTAGATGTTCCACACTGTGACACTACTCAGTTTTCTTTGAATATTCACACATCACATTAGAGAAAAGCAGCTCAGACATGAGGCCACTCTAGCGAGGGGATTCAGCTCTGCTTTTGTGTCTCTCATTCGTGTTTTTGCCTGGTCTTTTCAGAAGTTCCCATGGATGAGTGCACCTATTCAAGTCGGCCTGGTGGGATTCTGGTGAGTCGTCACAGATGCTCCACCTGATAAGCAGCCATGTGAAATACCTTTTGAAATTTCAACCTAATTACCTTAAAACGAGGAAACAAAATGTCACTTAGTACTTATCTGAAGAATGTGCTTGGAGATTTGTTAGTTTCCTAGAAAATGTTAAAACACCTAATTCACTATAATTTGGTATTAGGCTTGGTGTGAGTTCTGTGTCCCAGTGAGTTGATTCGACAGTAAACTTATCGAAGTAGTCAGAAGAGTTTCTACTTGATAATTCAGACCCTGTCCTGTCTTTCTCTGCCAAATGATCCACAATCCTGTCATGTGTGTTGCTGATGTGATCTGGCATCCTACGACCTCAGAACGGCCAATGAAAATCATGTGAAACATTCCTTTAGCTCAGCTTTAATGATATCAGGCCCCCCCCACACACACACACACACAAACAAGGGTCACAAGATAATGATTCTGTTGTTGAGGTCTGGTGATAAGACATTTTTGAGTATTGCAATACTGAGGTATCTGAGTGTAAAGAGCAAACCAATGATTCAGATCCTGGTATGATCTGTATCAGTATGATGGAGTTTATCAGTTGTGAAGTTTTCAATTCACTGATTCATAAAAGCAGATAATCAGGGCATGTAGCAGAGCTTTATGGACGGCACAGTTTGTTTTAATGTCTCTCAGAACTGAAAATTCAGGCGTTCTTGAACTCCGCGTTCATAAACTCCTGAATAATTTGTGCTGTACATGTCGCAGGGCATCACAGATGAGCACACTGTAACATATAATAGAGCCCGACCGATTTATCAGCCAGCCGATAATATCGCCCGATATTAGCACATCCACTGATTATTGGTGTCGGCTAACTTTAATGCTAATATGCATTGATATTCCTAGATTTATTCACCAGTCAAATAGCATTTCATTTGAGTATCATTGTGTTACACTAGCAGTTCTCTTTCTTGCTGTCACCAGCAGAGTGTGCTATATGGATTACAACCAGCATTATCAAACTCCAGAGTGTCAAGCGGTGATGCACGTACATGTGCAGTTACTTTCCAGTTGAGTGATCATCTGCTCTACAGTATTCTGTGTATCTTTTCCTCAATTGTTTGGAAACGGCATTTGAGAGATCCATGCAATAAATGTGTATCTAGATCTATCTCTCTGTACATATGGAACATAGATCAAAGAAAGATATTGGCTGATTTGTCTGTATCAGATTTTTTTCTCCCCCCAGTTTCGATATTGATATCGGCCCCAAAAATCTCATATCAGTCGGGCCCTTACATATAATAAATGTCTCTTTTAAGGTTAGTTGTTTAAGAAAGCAGCTTTTTTACAACATTTGTTTTCTTATATGGCTGCAAAACGGTCTCAGAAAATCCCACTTCTGTCAGGCTGAACATGAAACTGTTCACTTCCTTTCGTCTACATAACTTAAATTACACTCACTCCTGTCTTCTAGGTATCCATAGTTGTATTCAGTCAATCACATGATGTCAGAACAGGAAACTCTGGGATGTGTGCTTGTTTTTTTTGTTTTTTTTTACAGATGATTGTTTCTTTTTCAGCCTGGTGTTTGCCACTCCACTCTGCTGTGCACTTTTCCCTCAGAAGAGGTGAGTCCAACATTAAAACTTGACTCTGAAATAAACGCAGCCAGCGTGTTGTAGCCACTGACCTTAGCCTTCTTTCTCATTGAACATGTTAGGAGATTCCTGCCTGTTGCATAATATGCCCATAGTATATGTGTTTGACCCATTAACCCGTGCTTTTCCTCTGCCGGCTCCAGCTCTATGTCAGTCAGTCGCTTGGAGCCGGAGCTGCAGGAGAAGATCCGGGCCAACCATCCCGGAGTGGAGAGGGTCTACTTCAACAAAGGGCTATGAGAGTGTGGCCCCCCTCATCCAAACACTGCCATAACACAGCTGCAGGCTCAGTCGTCTCTCTGCCAGCCCTCCTCATTCAGTGTGCCAAAGTTAAGTTTGTGTCTTCTCATTTCTACCATTCAGATGGATATCTGAGGACGCCCTCTCTCACTTTCTCTGTTCTGTAATGACATGTTTGCTTTTGTCAGTGTGATGGTTGATTTAATTGTAACTACTTGAGCAGATATTCTACAACTGGGCCAGAGGAAAAGTGGGATCCATTGTATTGGCCCATCTAAGGTTCTTTTAAGTAGACTTACTTTGTGCAGTATTTTTTTTAAGTTGGTGACTTGTCTTTGTGTGGCGCTGCCAAACCGTTTTTATTCTCTCCTACCTGAGGTTGGCAGATCATTTACTACCTACTTTGTAATTCATCATAATTAGAACATTGGATACTCAAAGACCTCTGCACATCATGCATTTGCCAATTCTGTCCTAACATCATTTCTTTAGAACTCATTGACTTTTAAACCTCTGATAGGTTACAGTGTTATTTCAATGAAAAGCTTTTAAACTTATTTTGATTCAGTTGATTTTTGCCAAATAAGGGACCTTTAGTGAGCTATGAAGCGTTTTGATGTTTATTGAACCTGAAAACCGTTCTCCAGGGATCCACCCTAAAAAATGTGATTCTATGGTGTTGGCAGCCATTAACGGGCCAACCCGGTGCTATTAGATGTCTTAATTATCAGTGTTTAAACTTATATTTATTCTGCTTGCCAAACACGCATGAACAAACCACTCCTCATACACACGTCGTGGTATTTAACCCATTACAGGAAACACAATTGTACTGTATATTTAATTGCACCCAGGCTTTCTCACACACATGAGAAATCAGGATAATAATGATTAAATAGAGTGTGGCTCTAATGTACCTTTTTCGTAATCTTCAGTGGTAAACCCAGGATTTTTGGATCACAGTATTTGATACCGCCAACATCCAATAACTCATTCATGCCTTACACAAACTTGTATGGTTTTAACCTTCTGTACCAGAACGTAGCATCCTAAGAGGTTCAATTATTTCCACACAAAGTGGAAAGTCTCAGAGTAAGAGGCTGTTTTACCAGGATGTTTTTGAAGTATTATTGTACATTTGTACACATTTGAAGTCTGTGTTGTTCAGAGTCTTGAGGAAAAATGTGACAAAGCAAAGATGATATGCACAACTGACAAACGCATGCTTTGGTAATAACCTTTTCAACTCTAACCTGTTCTGTAGGACCTCAATAACCACACATTAAGGTCACCTGATCACCTCACAGAAATGCTATCACCTAAGCCTGGTGGGTTTGATGAGGGTTATTAACAATCTCCTGCTTAGGGTTCTGTTATATTTTTGCTTTTATAAGGCACACGTAAACCTCAGTTATTATCTGCAGTTACATCACAGCTCTCTGGTATTGCGCTGATAAAACAGGTGCAGTCTGATGTCGTAACTTTTCTTCTGTTCCTCCCATGCACTGTTCACTATTCAGTAGAATATCTGTGTCTGATATGCTTGAACACAGTTTGGGTAAACTGTGGACTTGATACCAGATGGCTCTCATCCAAAAGGTTGCTATGTTTTATCTGCTGTTGTAAAAGGTTTTTCACATGCATACCTTATATACAGACTGTATTTGAAGATAGCTCATATCAGAGATATAGTACGGCTGCGTGCATGATTTATCATTGGACATATTCCAAATCAGGGAAAAGATGGACTTGAATCAACAAAGATCCCTTACGATAGAAATTAAATGTTTGACCAACTTCTGAATCTTTAAAATGGATCTATAATGATGAACTGTGTTGAAATCTTTTGGTCCAATGAATGCAAATGTCGACATTTCAAAGTTGAAAACCTAATTATTATGCTTGTGAACATTGACTTGATTTCATCGCATCTTTTTCTCATCATGTCGTGTAATTTCTGTAAGGTGTTAAATGTTTAATATACTGTAAATCTACTTGCATATATTGCTGTAAGAGTAACTTTATTTTAGATTGTCAGTGTTTCCAGAGATGTTGGAGCTGTTCCCCAGCCCCTTTTAAAGTGAAGGTTTTTTTTCCTTTCATTTTCTCGTGCTGAAGGTTAACTGAATGTAGCATTTTCCAGTCACAACTGTTGGCAGTGTTTTTAGTCCAGAGAAGCACAATGTTGTTACAGATTTTAAATGCTGCACATTTTGAGAACTTAAACATGTTCAGTTTCCTGACCACAATACCTTTTATGTAGATCCTCAATCAGTGAGAGAGAGAAAAGAAATATAGTAAATGTTACCTTTGGTAGACTTAACTTCTGATCATTGTCCCCTAAACCTCTCTGACTGCATCTAATAAGTAGTTAGTTCATCTTGTGTGCTCAAAGGATTCTATAAACTCCCTCATCAATAACATCTACACAAGCTTCAATCGACCAAATCAAATAAAGTGTCAATACAGCCAAAGCAATTCCAGGCGACTCAAGGTGGAAGAAGTCATTTACCTTTGCATTAACTTAAATAAGTATTTTTTAAGAGAATATCATGGTGAAACAAATGGTCTTTGATTGTTTTGCAGTACATTTGGGTGATTTGATGTTTAACTAACTGGATGAAATAAAGTTGATGAAACTTATGTTTGGTGTTGGAGCATGTCAAGGTGCCACTGATGGCTCCACAGCACCCTCTTCTGGTTAAAACATGACACATCCAAGTGATGTTACAAAGGTGTTTTATTCCAAGGCACATACAGTTGAGAACAAAGAAAGACTGAGAACATGAACTTGATTACACATCTGAAGCCCTATGGATGCGTTTACAAAGCAAAGCACAAACTGGCATATATCGCTCGACAGATACAGAACATAAAGCACCATGGGACAGCAGCAGCGTAAACTGAAGGTCACACAATTCAAGAAACAGCTGGACTGTAGTGAATATCTTCTGATTTGACACAGCAATCAATAAAGATGGAAAAATAAAGCAGAGGCAGTTGAAACAGTAGCTACCTACAATTGCCAGATGCAAAATTGTGATCCAGCAATTACAATTCAAACATACTATACTAAATACTAAACTGTAATAAATTGATCCACAGCTTTCTTCCAGAAACTCTCTTTGGCAGGCATGCTTGACACAAATGTGTCTAGTCAGCTGACCAAGCTGCTTCCTGCTCCCCTGGATCCCAAAAATGTATCTTTGATCATGTGCAAAAGTGTGTATCATATGAAGAAGTAGAGAAGTTAACGAAGAGTCACAGTTCTATGAAACAGTAACAACATCTTTAGTGCGATGACAGAACACAAACGCATTGACATTTTGGCCTTTTCTTGACAAACTGCATCTCAGCAGAATTTCACCTCTTTGCAACACGCAAATAAAATAATGCAAGCACAATGTAACAATTCCTGTTTGAATATAACAGGGAATAATGTTCACAGCCACTGACTGATATATCATTAACCAAAGAGGCAGAAGGTCGACACAACTACAGACTTCTCTGACGAGGGGGCGTCTATAGTTGGTGTCATGTTTCAAGGTGAAACTTATTCAGGTCTCTTATGTAAGTCGCTCACCTTTCCTCTGCATTTACACTCTGTGCACATCAAGTCTAAGGTAAGCTGTGTACAGTGCTATCTTTGGAATGTGTAGGACTGTCAAGGTGGCATTTCAATTGGCACTTACGTAACACCCATGATTACAACTCACTTCATGTTGCACAGAATCAGTTTCAATTTAAAAGTCTTCTTTCACTGACTGAGCTTGGATGTCGTATCTTACTCAGTGATTACACATTTTGGGTGATTAAAGATGAATATTTGGATTTTGAGTCAACAACTTCATTTTTCCACATAAGATATATTGAAAAAAAAAAAGATAAATAAAGGTAATATAAATACTCTTGAATATAATTTTACATCAGTTAGAATTTTCCATTTTAGGAACATTGTTTAAAATAGAAGTCTGTAGTGTCCACTCTCCCAAGGGGGACCATTGTTAAAACAACTTTGGATAGGTGTTAAAGATTGTACTGGCAGGTGAGCACAATAACAGAGCTGATCATCACTCTGCTTCCTGGATGTGAACACCTGCTTCACAGCTCTGAAGATGCTTCATGCCTCTGCAAACACCAGAGTGTTGGAGGGTCAAAGTGTCAAAGGGTTGGTGAATATTGTGTGCTGCAGGGCAGTGACCTCAACAAAGGGAAAAAAAGAAAACACCCACATGTTATGAAGTGCATATGATCATCTGGGCGAGCTAAGAAACAACAAGGGGCATGAAAGCTTTCTTCAAGTCACCAGTGAAGCCCCTAGGCTACGACAGCAGATGGATGGATGGGCTTTTATTCACTAGAACTCTTTTAGCTTAGCACGGCCTTGAATTAAGGTCCATGTGAGCCCTACGTATTCAGCAGGCCTCTTCCTCACACAGCTCCTCCCCCACCAACAAGGAGTGTTTGTCAGGATCGCTCAGCACCAAGCTGTTCAGAGAGTGCTTGTCAGAGCGAAGGGAGTTCATAGAGGCACGGCTGTAGTTCACGATGCGGTCCAGCAGGCTGAGTTTGGGGGAGGGACGACGCACGTCACCCATGCCAATGTGGACGCTGACGTCTGACAGGCTGCCCTGCCGCCTGTTGCCACCCAGGCTGGCCTCCAACTTCTCAGCTGTGGGCTTAGTGTAACTAACCAAAGACACAGAAAAGAGATGAATATAGAGACTTGAGTGAAAAATAGTCATAGATAAATATGTTCAGAAGAGAGAAAAAAAAAAAACAAAGCGCAAGGATAAATGTTGCTTTAAATGTCTCATTACCATTTGAGTAGAAGGGAGGATAAAACCACAGACACAGACGACAGAGCCATCGCAGCAGAACCCATCCACGGCTGTAACACCAGACCAAAAGGAAGAAACACACCTGTGGACAGACAGAGTTTGTATCACTGCTGTTCAACGTTACTGTAATGATCACCTTCAGAAACTATACATGTTCATTCATAAAATATTATCTCTCTCTTGCAGTCACATACCAGCAGCTATAGGAATGCCAATCAGGTTGTAGATCAGAGCAAACACAAAGTTGATCCTGATCCTCTTGACTGTCTTCTTAGAGAGGTGGATGCTGCCCACCACATCCAGGAGGTCGTTCTACACACAAGACAGAAATAGTACATTACATACAAAAAAAAAAAATCGACATGAACTTGGATTAGTAATTCAATCCAATTTTTGAGAAATATCCCCATAGCAGAACAAGAGGACATGTTTAAAAACATTCACTAAAAATAGACTTCAATATTATTTGTTTTACTATATACAGGCATTATTCTCAAATAATAGTATACACACAATATAAGACTGTCATTTACAAATTGCTAACAACTAACATTAAAAGGACTTTAAAACGAATATTTTGACTATGTTATGGAAAGGGAAGTTTGTTTTGACCATCAGTTACATACCGTACATAGTGTCCCATATTATACATACATTATATGACCGTCACTTGTATAACACTTTTGATACCATTATCTATTGGTACCACTTATATATTGTATATGTGGTGACACTGTGTCGTGTTTCATGCTATATTCACACTGCCTCTTTGCTGCAGAATCAATAAGTTTCATTGACAAGTTACATGACGGGCCGTCAGACACAAATTTACCACAGACCAGAGCTCAAGTTCTCACCCTGATCAACACCACGTCTGCTGCCTCTATGGCCACATCTGTCCCTGTTCCTATGGCGATGCCCACGTCAGCCATGGCAAGAGCGGGCGAGTCGTTGACTCCGTCACCCACCATGGCAACTCTCTTTCCTTGCCGCTGCAGCTGTTCCACTTTGGCCACCTTGTGGGAGGGCAGCACCTCAGCAAACACCTTCCTGATACCCACCTGTTGGAGAGACCCGACAAGCTCAGAAACACACAAAACACTGTGTTTGTATATATAATACATACATCTATTTCAGCTAAAATGAATAGGCTTTTAAAAATGGAATTTGATCAAGGTATAGCAATATATTTATAACTAATACTTTTTTTCAAACCATATCACCCTCTCCTGTTGCACATTAAAATATATATTTTTTAAAATACAAGATTATATTGATTTCTTATGATGTCCCTCAAATAGGTTGAAAATATTAATAAAATACTTAATCTTATAAGTATCAATATATATACACATGTTTATTGCATTAACCTGAGCAGCTATGGCTCGTGCTGTCTTGCTGTTGTCTCCGGTCATCAACACAACTTCCAGCCCCATGTGTGTCAGAGTCTGGACAGCTAGTTCAGCCTCCGGTTTCACTGTGTCAGCTATGGCTATCATCGCACACAGCATATCTGCGCACAAATAAAAATGGTTAACAAGAAGAATGGAAGCACTCTCTCAATAAATGTTTCAAAACAAGAACATTAAAATTCAGTTTTTCAGACATTTATGCAAAGGGACAAAAGACTTGAGTTCATGTAAATCAGCACTCACTGTCTACAGCTACGAGAACAGCAGTGCGTCCTCTGCGCTCATGCTCGATCATGGCGTCATCTACGTCCGAACTGACTTGCAAGCAATTCCTCCTCATCCACTCTCTGTTGCCAATGAGGACCACATAGGTGGCCGTCTGGATGAGACCTACACATAGATATCACTTGGTTAAGAAAACATAAAGGTGAACAACAATTTTTCAAACTTTTTCATTACAATAATCTAAAAAATAAGGGACTAAATAACATGTTTCACTGGTTCAGTCGACAACACCTGATCACACAACGATAACAACGCATTTCCCAGCATACTTAGTGGCTGCGGGTCCATGATGAGAGGATGAGAGGTGGTTGACATTCTGGTGTCGCTGATTTGGATGAGGACGCTGTTGCGCTGGTTGTTATCCTCACTGTCGCTGTCTGCCTGTTTCAGCAGCGTCTCTGTGTTGCTGACCTGACATCGGATGCCGCAGCCCGGCACTGCCTGAAAGTCTGTGCACACGCCAAGAGCCTCTGTGCCCAGCTCCTACAAGCAGAAAGACACCAACGTTTACTGTTACATTTAACAAACCCAGATTAAATGATGGGGAAGTAATCTGAGACAACATGCTGAGGGTTAAGTCAGGGTTTAATATGAAGCTACCTTTTTGCAATATTTGGTGATAGCTGCTCCCAGAGGATGTTCACTGTTGTTCTCAGCTGTGCCCATGATGGCTAACAGTCGTGAACGTGGCATCTTGTTCCCCTCCACGACTATCTTTACTTGGATGACATTTGGAGCCCCGTATGTGATGGTCCCAGTCTTATCAAACACCACAGACTGGACCTGCCCATAAAAGAAGATATGATTAGTTTTAATGTATTAAATCAAAGTGATATCTAGACAACAAATGTTGTTTCATAACATAGGAAACCAGAACCATTTCATAATGTGTCGACAGCTGGTGTGTTACATAACTGGCTGACTACATAGGGGTGTCAGCATGTCATCATTAACACACCTTATGTGCCATCTCGAGTGGCCCTCCTCCCTTTATCAGGATGCCATTTTGGGCTCCAACCCCTGTGCCCACCATGACAGCTGTCGGGGTTGCCAAGCCAAGGGAGCAGGGACAGGCAATGCATAGTACAGTAATGGAGGCCTGGAAGGCAAAGCGAATCACTGCCTCAGTCCGGGAAATGCTCTTGTCGAAACCCTGCCGGAAGGAAGTGGAGCAGTTAGCTTAGACCTATTAAATAAATGATTTGCCCTTCATAGAAGAATATATACAGTATATATAAAGAACTAAGAAGATATCTGATGCATGAAAATGTAATGTTATGGCCCTGGGTCATATATTTTGTATTGATCATGTTTATTGCATTATGTGCAGCTTTGTCTCCTCTCCCCTGCAGTGTGTGTGTGAAGAGGGCTACAGACACGTTCTCAAAGATACAGACTAAACTCAGCGATCCCCGCGTCTTTGTACATCCATATGGATTCCGCAGGGCGTAATATTCTTGTCCCAGTCTGTTAATTCACATTGCGTTCCAGCAATGCGAAAGCACAGCACAGAGGGAGCTCAGCATAAACACGCTGTCAGACATGCACAAACACCCAGCACTGCTCTGTGCTCTCCCGCTGATACCGTCTGGCCTCTGTAAGGCCTCTGTCACTACCTTCAAATAAGGTAAAGAGGGGGATCACTTGTCGCTCCGTTACAGCTCCACGACATTCAGAGTGAAGATGAAACATCAAAGGGACGTACATTTCACGCCTTGAAATGGCAGTCTGAATAGGGCTTGTGTCTGTGGGTGTGTGTCTGTCAATCAGGTGCTGCGTCCAATTGGTCGGTTCAACTGGAACGGCTGCTTCCCGATAGGCTCAAGCCTGACATCACAGTTTTTAAACCTTAATAAGAAATCTGAGCACTCTGCTCAGCCATTCACCTCACACACCCAACAATACCAGCATTAAGATCTGTGATCTCCAATCTTTAGATAGTTGAAAGTTGTGTAGGCCTGAGTTTTTAGATTGTGTGTTAGATTCTGAAATATTTATTGAGTTTGAGTTTGTATACCACTTTTGATACATATATCGTTGGATGGCAGGAGAAACTCAAGAGTGAAGTCAGAGCGAAAAATGTGGCTGTTTGGCGTTCACACACACAGCTCCTCCTGGAAATATCCTGAGTTTCCTGATTTCTGCAAGTGTGAAAGCCCTATTAGTTTAACTTTTGTTTTGGTTTAGGGAATAATATAGATTTGATTAGACCTCAACAGTGCCTAAAACAACAGTCAAATGTTATCAAACACACTGCTGCTTTGAATGTGAGTTTGACTTGTGCTGCTGGCTTTCTTGGGAGAGGGAAGAGTTGGGGTCACTTATCATGTTGTGTCTAGGTTCCCCTAGACCGGTGACATCACATGATTTGGGGGCTTGTCCATTTAGGGGTATGATTTTTCCTTTGGGTGTGAGAGGTCCTGGATTCATTTCCAGCTCAATATTAACAATGATTTATCTACCATTAATAAAAAGGAACAGAGAGGAATCGATGTTATATCCTGATGCTGTGTTAAGGATTTAGGTAAAGACAATTTTCAAGATAGCAAAACAAAAAAACTCACAGGAAAGTACTTCTCCACCAGAGAGAAGTCTAAAAACCCGATAACAGTCCAGGCAACCAACGTAAGGAGCGATATTCCAACAATGAAGGGAACAAAGTAGCCGCTGATCTTATCTGCATACTGCTGGATGGGAGCCTGAAAATAAAAATCAGAAATTAAACACCTGAGCAATTTCCATGAAAGCAGGGAGACATGGTTCAGAACTAAAACCACATGGTTCACCTTTGAGGTCTGCGCCTCTTCCACTAGTTTGACTATCTGAGACAGCGTGGTGTCCATGCCGACATGTGTAGCGCTGACCAGCAGGGAGCCGTTCTGGTTAATGGAGCCTGCAATCACACAACTCCCTGGCTTCTTAGTCACCGGCATGGCCTCACCTGTACGCACAAAAACAACAGCTGGTGAGAAAACTTCCATGGAAGACAGGAGCAGGTCATCTGTAGCAGAAACTGGTGTTCTGGAGGAAGCTACAGGTCAAATTATAACTAAAGACTACATGCTAGCAAATACTTAGTAAGGTTTAGTGGCATTGAACTTTTTCAAACTCTATTTTTTGAATTGCTTTGCGAATCTGTCACTGCATAACTATTGTCAAATTCCCTACATCATTACAAATGTTATTTACTTACTATCAAGATAAGCCCCTGAGTAAGAAGACAAAGCATTCTTAAACAAAGCGACTAAATAGATCTGATGTGTATAGATTCATTATTCCAGTCAGCAGGAGCTTTAAACTTTTTTGCCAATAACTCTTTTAACATGTGGAACAACAAAATAAATCTGACTGGAATTCCTAGTTCGGTTGTTTGTTATATGCATGTTATAACAACTTAAAGCAAAAATGAAACAGAACAGTGTGTGTTTTTGTGTAATTTTTAAACCAAACCTGATAGCAAGTACTTTAATCAATACTATAGAATAGAATAGAATTACTTTATTGATCCCAAACTGGGAAATTGTGGCATTACAGCAGCAGGTTATCCAACACACAATATGAGTAAAAAACACAATGTTAGCAAATCTAAACACAATATAATATTAAATACAAAGAAAATAAGTACTAAAAATATCAAAACTAAGAATGTGAATATATACAACCAGGATTTAACTAAGCATTACGAATTATAAGTGACTAAATGTGACTTCTAACTCCTAACAGATTAAGAACCTTTTCTTTCACTTGCTGTGATCTACCTGTAATGAGAGACTCATCCGCCATGGAGTGTCCCTCGATGACTCTACCATCGACTGGAAACTTCCCTCCAGGAACGACTTTCACCACATCGCCACGCTGCACAAGCTCGACGTCCACCTGCTCCTCACTGGAACACAAATGGAAACACGTAAGGGTTTAAAAAGGTCCAGTTATGAAAGATTTTATTCACATAAAATCACTGGGCAATGCAGCAAAGTGTAATTATGAAATCAAGCTATTCAGGGGATGACTGGTGGTCAGAAGTCACTAAGAATGAACACTTCATGTTAAATCTAAATGTTTCTGAACATCAAGTGTTTGTGTTAATTCATATCGACAACCATGAGTAGTCTCTGTTACATCTTCAATTACATTTTTACTGTACAAATGAGAAATATGTCGTTTTCTCAAACCAAATAAAGATCTGAAATGATGACAGTAAAAAGTAAGTACCTGAGAATAGACATGTCACTGCTGAGGGTGACCACTGTGGCCTCAGTTGCCTGTAGCGACATCAGCTTGGACAAAGCCTCAGATGTTTTGCTCTTAATGAAAGAAAAAAAGCACAAAAAATATTTTAGTTGACTGATAAACTAAATCAAGGTCCTGCTTTTCAGAATGTTGGAATTATACATAAATGTCATAGATCTCCATAACAAAACATGAGCTGACCTTGGCTATCTGTTCCAGCCAGCGTCCCAGGGAAATAAAGACAAAGAGCATCGGCGGTGTGTCGAAGAAGGTGATGGGGTTGACTTTTGCCTTCTCCGCCATTGCCACTATCAGGACAACTAAGGAGTAGGTGAAGGCGATGGTGGTAGCTAAAACTATTAGCACATCCATGTTGGCAGATTTGTGTTTGAGCGCTTTGTAGGCTTGAATGTAGAAGTAGCGTCCACCAATAAACTAAAAGCAGGGGGAAAAAAGGAAACCAAAAACATTTCATTAATATCATAAATTCTTCTTTAAAATCTGAATGTGTGTTTCCAGGAATTGAAGGAAGTCCCACTGATTTACCTGTACAGGCACACAGAAGAGGAAGGAGAGGAGGTTCATGATGGAGAGGCCTGGGAGCAGCTGTCTCTCCAGGAACATGGTAGAGTGGTAGAGGTTTCTGTCCTCAGCTGTCATGTTGTGATGATGAGGAGAAGGCATCTGATGGTCCATAATAATCATGTAGGTCATCATGCCCATCACTGGGACGCAGAAAAACAAGCTCACCAGGAAAGATTTCCTCCACCTTAGAGTGACGACAACAATTTGTTAGACATGGATTCAACTCATGTTTTGTTCTTTTTTTAGAAGAAAAACAGAAATGTATTTTCACTTAACAAGAATTGTCCCACAAATAAAAAACATTATGACCATATTCCCCTTTACTCTCATTCCTATACTACTCCTGCATATATTTACTAACTTTCAAAAAATTATTTCTCAACTATAGTTCTCCAAGTTGAAATGGGCCCTCCACAGCCTTCATGAGTCTTGTTTATATTTGGCCTGAAAGTTGGGTGTTTATTTTTTTGCAGCTGCTTGACCCTAACCCAACTGTTTTCTGAGAACAACAAGACAAATTGTTGAGTCACCATTACATGTTTGAATGTAGTTTATGTAAAAAAGGGATTCAACCTACTACATTAAAACCCTAAGCCACATGGACAAGATAAGATATCCATTAAAATAGGAAAAAAAAAAACATGAAATGAGACTTTGTATATTTTCTTTGTAGAGAAACAAAATGTGGCTCACTGTTTTATCTCTTTGCTATGGTCCAGGTGACTTGCAGTGCGGTCTCTCTTCACCAAGGTTGCTTCAAATCCCAGACTCTATGACAAAGTATTGACATTGTTTCTTTAGGTTTAAGCACCTTTTATCAAAATGATATGACACATTTTTATGGCTGACAGATATGATTTGCATGAGTATGTGCTGGTGTTAAAATGCAATAAAGACAATTGCTAGAATTATCTTATAAGAGATAGCAACAGGGATGATACCTCAATCAGTTTAATGGTGTCCCGCGGGCCTATAACTTCAGAGTCGTACTTAATGTGTGCTTTGTTGGTTGCTAAGGCAACAGAGGCATATATAATCCCCTTTTCTCTCATGAGGCTGGATTCAATTTTGTGAACACAAGAGGCACATGTCATTCCCCTGACCTGGAAGAACCGTCAAGCAGAGAAACAGACGAAAGTGAGGAACAGATATGATTCATTTCATATACAGAAAAAATGCTTTATGTGTAAGATACTGGTCTCAAATAGTAATGGAAATGTTTAAGTATTTCACCATGTGAAAATAAACAACAATATTGAACATATTTATTTAAATAGTACAGAAACAACGTCACTGCTCACCACTAGTTCAAGGTTTCCATCTGAACCTTCATAGTTCTCCATAACAGAGGCGGTGAAGCCGAGCTCTTTCACACAATCAGCGATCCTCCCAGGGTCGATGACTTCAGGGTTATAACGCACCTCTGCTTTACTTGCCATCAGTGCCACCAGAACTGAAGAGATGCCTGCACAATTTTAAAGATGTTCTCTTTAGTTCAGACTGAAATGGTGCAACATGTGATTAATCTTCATTCAAATAGAACTTAAAACATTTAACTGAGTTGTTACAGACCAGGTTCGTTTTTGAGGTTTCGCTCGATGTTTGCCACACAGGAAGCACACGTCATCCCTCCAATCTGGATGAAGCATTTAGAGTTTGTGTCTCTGTTGTGTTCCTTGGGGGATTCTTTGTGAATATCACCGTCCAGCTCTTTCAAAGGTATGAGACTTGTAGACTTTGAATGGAGGAAATTTGATTCTGGCAGCAGAGAATTGGACTCTGTGGACAACAAAGGTTTAGTGTTATATATAAAGGACACATAACTTACAGATCTCATGATGTCACATCCTCAAAGTTCAGGAACCCCTTCTGGATGATTTAAAGAAGGGACAAATTGTCAAAGGAAATTTTGAGATTGAAGGAGAGCAACAAGATGCAACAGAGCTGGGCTTTAGCTATCTAGCATTCAATCATTTTTTGAGAGCTATATTTGTCCCTTCATTCAATTATGACAGGAAACCGGACAACTACAGCAACAATATGTTCCAAAAATCTTGCAGATTAATTTAAATTATTCCACTGCAGGAGGGGAGACTGAAAGTCTGCAACACTACATGGTGCAGCGTGTAAGCAACACAGACTCAAACATTTGACAATTAACTTTACCTGAAGATGAGCCAGTTCTATCTATTACTTACAAATTACACTCCATGTTGGCAATTATTCCACTAAGAAAGCGACTTCGTTTTTCCTGACACTGTTGTTTTACTGTTAGATGGCTGAGGGTTACATAATGGCTGCAGCTGGTTTTGCAGATTATATTTCATGTTTATTTTGCAGGCCCCTTACGTTAAGTGATAAGCAGTGCACTGAATTGGAGCAGGACCAGAAATTGTCAACTGGAGGAGAAAGAGAAGCTCACCATGCTCAACACAGTTTACAACATACAAAAGAGGAGGTCCTGCTCATGAAAATCAAAGTCCTGATCACACTGAAGATGAATAAGGTCTACACACAAGTCTCTCCTCTAAACAGTAGAATAAAACTCCTTTTGCCATTTCAATATATGAGAATAAAGCTTAATCGACAACCAAAATAATCTATCCCCTCACCAGGTAGGAAGGCATCAAAGCCCATGTCCTCTATGGCCTCCCTCAGCTCCTCCGGAGTGATCAGGAGGGAATCATACTCAAAGATCCCCTGGTGATCAGCCAGAGAGACCTGGGCTGACATCACACCTTTCTTTTTGGAGATCATGCCTTCAATGGTCTGGACACAGGAGTTGCATGTCATACCCTCGATGTGAATTTTAACTGTAGACCCCAGAGGCTGAATAAAAGAAGTCTGTAAGGCAGCAGGTGTGGTCTTGGTTGCTCCTGCAGGCTGCAGTGGCGATAAGGCAGGCTTGGACAATGTGGGTACAGGACTGAGAGGACAAGAGGAGTCCCAGGGTTGAGTCTTAAAGTTTCCTGGGGGCAGAGCCTCAATTGCCTGCTGTAACTGATTCACTGTGACCATTAGAGGATCATAGCAGATGGATGCCTTCTCTTTCTCCAGACAAACCTCCACAGATGAGACACCAGGCAGCATGGAGATGTTGTCCTGGATATTGACCACACATGATCGGCAGTGCATGCCTTTCACCCTGAGCATTGTAAGTGTTGTGTCTATAAAGATTTCAGTCTCCTCTGAAGAGTCTGACGACGAGGAAACGGTTGGTTTTTGTGAATCAACAAAACGTTCGACTTCAGAGGGGGACAGCAGCAGAGGGCGAGGTTTGGACTTGACAAACGACTTGAAGCCGGCCACAGCAATCTGGTCGATTATGGTTTGGACAGTTATGAGGTAAGGCAGATACACCACCGTAGCTTCCTGAGTCTCCAAAACAACTGAGGAGGAAAAAAATATATAATAAAAGACAAAAATAGCAGCTCAGAGCTTGACTTCCACAGTACAGAAATAATGTTCTTGAACAAGAAGGGGCTGTGTGTTAAAAGATTACACAGATGGTTCAAATCAATGAGGTTTAAACAAAATCAAGAACATATCAAAAAGAAGATTTCAAGCTCATAGTTACTCATATTAAATAAAAACACACAGCGTTCAATCACTGTGAAACCATCTTTCTGGCTAAGTCAATAATATATTTCACATCTCTTCTTAAAACACACTTGTATCAATATTTTTTATATTGACTTAAGTTTTATGAAGTGGTCTTACATCTGATAATTCTATACTTATTAAAGCACTTTGTAAGTTGTAAACACTTGCATGTCTTCACAGGAATAAACAATGTTTTGCTTTTGAAATGTTACATATAATCTAGAACCATGTTTCCATAACTCACAGCATACAGCTGTCATGGCCAGTTTATACATAATGACATTACTGTATTCAGCTCACATGATCTAATCTGTCGATATGTCACTCTTCAATATCATTGAAAGGATTTCATGACTCATAGGCAAATCCCAAAGGGCAATCCTTCAGGGTGAGGATATTAAGAGCCTAACATAATGGTGTGCTGTATGTAAGATGTGCACCAACTGTGTTAAAACATCATTTCTAGCTCAGATGTGAGGGTGATACACAACTACAAGCATGTGAGCGATTAAAGTGCATTACCTTTGATCTTGTCAACGCCATTCAATTTTCCAATCTTTCCTTCAATAGTGGTAGTGCAGGAATGACAGGTCATTCCTTCAATGCGCAACTTCAGGAGCGACACCCCGGCTCCTGATGTGTGGGATGGGGACAAAGTTGGGCCGTTTTGCAGACCGTGGCTGTTCGGTGTGGCGATATCCAGGGGCTTGATGTTGGCCACCACCTCACTTAGCTGCTGCGCAGGAATCAGGGAAGGAACAAAGGTGACATTGAGACCCATCTGTGCTGGGCTCTCCCTGACATCCAGCACTCCCTGAATCTGGGACAGCTTCTCCAAAGCCTCCTGCTGGGCTGCTGGTGTCAGGTTTAGGGTGGGGATGAGCTGGGTATCTGAAGAGATGGGTGTAGCTGTGCTGGTCTCGGACAGACTTGATTCAAAGCCCATGTCCTCGATGGCTTCTGATAGAGACTCTGGGCTCTGTTGGCTGGGGTCAAATATGATGGTGGCATTCTTCTGCTCCAAAGAGACCTACATGTAAAAGTTTAATAAAGTAAATACAATTAAGAGCTGTCTTTTCCCCAAAAAAACTTTATGGTTAAAGAAGCTGCCTTAACAACACAGGCCCTCTGCCTTAACTACCATTGTTGAAAGAAAAAAAACAAATCGGTTGTACTCAGACTTTAAAAAGCACTTGCGAAGTAAAAATATGATTATTATTACACTTTTGTATTTATTTTGTGTACATCTTACTTGTGTAAGTACACAGTTAGTTGTTGTTTTGTGTATTTATATCTTTTATTCTCTGGGGAAACTTTAGACAGTCCATTCTCAGTAAGCCATTAACACAGTAGTGTACTTAGATTTAGACAAAGTGATCAATTCAGTATGTTACTTTTGTTTATTCAATAACTTATTGTGGAGAATATTTAGATACTATACAAAGAAATGGTTGTCTTAAGTGACAATACCCCCTTCTAACACTGTCAATAATGTTTGATAATATTTTTTACAGTCTAACCATGACTCTGCCTTTTCTTAACAATGAACTACGATATAAAAAAAAAACAATGAGCCTTGGCCTTAGTACACAGTGTTTCATCTACTTACATCAGCATGATGACCCTAGGAAGGAAACATGTGACATACTGAAGGGATCACTTGACTGAGCGATAAGTTCAAACCACAGTGGGGGTTTAGTAGTGAGTGCGCCTGCCTGCTGGATTTTCTCTTTTTTTTTGTAGACTTGGAGAAAACAGTGCCAGGAATGAGGCAATTTATGCTGAGAAAAATAAGCATGTCTTGAACATGTCAATATAAATTTACTTAGCAGGACCCATAAACTAATTCTCTTAAGACACAAATGACATTTCCTGTGGGCACAGGCTACATATCGACCTGCTGTCACAGTCTCACAAAGGGCAGAGCTTTATCTGGGACCAATATTAAGTTATCTTCTCATTTCACCTCAGCCTGAGGGGTAGAAACACAACAAACAAAACAGCAGACCACACATTTTGCCATTAAGCTATCTCTCAATGAAGTTACTTGGTTTAAATCAGACCCGAGGGAGTAAAACTGTGAGTTGAATCAAACTTTGCTTTACTTAAATGGGCATAAACCTTCACTTACTAGAATCATGTAATAATATTGGCCTTTTCCATAAGGCTCTGATTCCCTTTTTCAGAGTTTAAAAGACAGATTGTATCGTTACACCATTGATGAGAGTTGTTTCAGATCCTGTTTTTGAACTAGAGTTGACATGTAAAACATTTTAGTCAGCAATTTCTAGAACTGCACTTCATCATGGAAAATGACTTTTATCCACACCCCTTAATTTCCTTCAGATAACTACAAAGTATCGAGCCACTGTCAAAACACAAAAAAAGCCAGTAAAAAAAAAAAAAAAACTGTTCTTGTGTCTTTGCAGAGACAACTTTACCTTTATTTGTCTCACACCAGGTTGAGACCCGATGCGCTGCTCTATGGACTGGACACAGGAGCCACAAGTCATACCCTGCACTCCGAGGGAAACCGAACACAGATTGACTCTCTGTGTCATGATTGCTTAATCTAAAATGACACAAAAGACGAAAGAGTAGTCATACAACAAAAAACAAAAAACGGCTTTAAAACAAAACAGAAGAAAAAGTCAGGGCAAATAATTCAAGAAGCCAACATCTTCTCAAAAACAACTGTATGCTTAGAAGTCACAAGTAAAAAAACAACAACAACTAGTCTACAAAAAGGAACAGAGAGTAACATTAGACAAAACAATGTACCAATGTCACATTAGACTGATGGAAATAGCATCTATTGTTTTGTTTTCCAGCACCAATAGAACACAAAGTTCTTTAGTAGAAGAATGTAAAACAATGTCAAATATGTGAAACCAAATGTGTAGGTCAACAGATTACAATTATGTTAATTACATTAAAACAATAACCTCCACCTTCTTCATGTGCTGATTGAAAACACACAGAAAGGAAGGCATGTTAAAGTGAATGTTGAAGGGTTTTCTTTGAGGTTTCACAGCATTACAGCATGAGGTTGTACACAGCATTACAAGACCATGTTGTAGTGAGGATAGTCATAACTTTAAAGTGGTGAGCCTCATTGTCACCATGACTGTGAATAACTGGACTGGTCAACATGTAGGAACACTTTTACAACCATTGTCTTAAAGGATCAAATCACATATCCGTCTGAGAAAGGTCAGCTGTAGTTTACGACAACAGAAAGTTAACTAGTTTTAATCTTATTTTAGGTAACAGCAGGTTAGAAAGCTACGGTAAAGGCAGCTCACTGGGCCTGCTGAAATATGCTAAACAATAGTTAAGTTTCGGCTGCTTGTTGCTGAATTCAAAAACAAATGTAAAAACATATTTTAAATCAGACAAAGAGTGAACAGGAAATATTATCTTTCCAGAACCTAAAAAACGCCAACCCAAAGGTCCGGTATGTAAGGTTAAAGCATGGTGTTTTCATGAAAATAAAAGTGTCTTACCTTGTTTAAAGAGAAGTAAAGCAGTTAGCTTAAGGCTACTGACGTTAGCTGTCAGACTGTGAGGCTGACTTGAGCTAGCATGCTAGCTAACTTCCTCTCCTCACCCTGTGTGTAATAAATCAGACATGCCGCTGCATCATGCTGCCTACAAGGAACAAAGGTGATTCCTGCAGTAATAATTATCTTGACCCGTGTCCGAAACTCTGCTCTGGCTGAGAAGCTGTTTTGTTCCTTCTTTTTCATGCCGACGTAACTGACGTACTTTCAGAAGGCTGCGTCACAGCGACGGGGCGGAGCTACGTAAGCGTCAGACCCGTCAGACCAGACCGGACCAGACCAGGGTCCCATGCTACGTCAGCAGGCCTACGGTACATTAGTGTTGAAGCCCTGACTTTAGCCTCCCAGGCTGAATTAGGCAGATGTAGTCACACCAGCAACCCAATGTGTTTAGATTTATAGATTAGACTCAACACAATCTAATCTAATCAGTTTTCATAGATTAGACTCAACACAATCTAATCTAATCAGTTTTCAAAGGTCTGAAGTGAACAGTTTAACTAACAGGTGCTATTTCGTATTTTAACTAAATAAATGTCTAAGGCGGCCTCGTCCTTTGTCCCATGTAGCCACATTGTAAGACATCCTGTCTCGTCTGTGAAAATGGTACATAGCCTACACCAGGGGTGGGCAACTGGCAGCCCGGGGGCCACATGCGGCCCTCGTCAACCCACAATGTGGCCCTCAGGTCAATATTTATATATCAAAACATGACAAAATCTGCCATGAAATCATGAAAACCAGAAATATTTCCATAATAATATTTGATCACTGGTATATGTTGAGTTAAATTTGAGACATAATTGACTGTTATCGTTTTTGTATCCTACAATTTGGGTAGGGTAGGGTGGCGCTTTAAACACATTCATACATCTGCAGATTCTTTCTCTTTTAAGCAACTTTTTTTCTGTGGTTCATTTGTGGAAATGTCAATTAGTAACGGAATAATAAAGCATTAAAATATTAAACACTAAGTGTACCAAATTAAACTCAAATGTAGTCATCCGTTACTAATTGACATTTCCACAAATGAACCACAGAAAAAAAGTTGCTTAAAAGACAATGACTATGGAGATAAATATGGCCTTGTGATTAAGTCTTTTTTACTATTTGAGGCATAGCTGCATGCACTGAAAGTGCCATTAAATGAATGTGGCCCCTTGCTGTGACCAAAGTTGCCCATCCCTGGCCTACACACTATTGGTCTGGTCACACTGAAGCTCCAAATATTTAGTGGCTTTGGAGAACATACAATGGTTATCCTCATGGGGGCGCTTTAAACACATTCATACATCTGCAGATTCTTTCTATTATGGAGCTCTCTGAGGGTTGATCCTATGTGACCAGATGAACTTGATGACTACATTTGAGTTTAATTTGGTACACTTAGTGTTTAATATTTTAATGCTTTATTATTCCGTTACTAATTGACATTTCCACAAATGAACCACAGAAAAAAGGTTGCTTAAAAGACAATGACTATGGAGATTAATAAAATAAATATGGCCTAGTGATTAAGTCTTTTTTACTATTTGAGGCATAGCTGCATGCACTGAAAGTGCTAAAGATAAATATGGAGAGGTAAGTTCGCAGTTTCAAGTTACATTGTCCACAGTTTCAAGATTTGGCCTACCTATCTAAACATTCTCCCTTCAGCATGAAGCATGCAGATTAATTCTCTAAATACACTCCAGTAACATTTTAGACTATATTTAGAAGTAGGCATTTTAAATTTAAGCAACTACAATGAACTTTAACGTTTGACGCAAATGAATGCATGTAGCCAATAAACTATTCATTTATCTATTTTTTTTAATTTTTTATTTATTAATGCCACCACTACTTTCAGAAACACTTGCACGCACGCGCGGCCACACTTTGACATACTGACCTACTTTCTTAGCCCGCGTGCACATATATCTTGTGCACCCTGAAGGGTCACGATACGACAATAACAAACAAATAAACACGCACACATGCTCCCACTCAATGCATAAACATGCGCAATCGAACACACTGGCGCAAATAAATAAGTGAAAGTAAATAAATCATGTCTTTCGTCATTAAGGAAGCACACTCCCTGTTTCTGCATGCATGGTGGTGGTTGGAGATACAGCTGAGCAGATCCATGTTTTCCTACACTCACGTGGACAGACTGCTCTACGCAGCCCGTCAAGCTGTCGCTAAAGCCAAGAGAGGAGAGCTTATTATGGGAGCGGCTCCTGCTGTCCTATATCAGCAACAGCCAGCATTTCTCCAGTCATCTGCAACCATGGCTCCGAGTGAACGCCGTCTTCTCTATCAACAGAGCACATAAAAGAGAGGAAAGTGTTGTTTTGGGGCGCTGAGGTAAGTAACATGTATTTAAAGACGTTTGATCTCTGAGATACAAGCTGGTTATTGTTTTGCTCAGAAAGCTTCTAGATTGTTGTTTACCTGGCGCCACAGGTGCCGTGCAGCTCTGCTCTGATCAATTTGAACTTTTGCATGGTGAGATTTTCTTCACAGTAACATAGTAGAACTGTGTGTGCACCGGGACAAAAGGGGAGTAATGTGACTTAAAAATGTAATACATTAAATTTAGTTGCATAAATTAACACATTTGCCTAAACTAAACCATGTGTAAGCGGAGTCGTGAAAACTTTGAGCTTAGATGTTGAACTGTTATTACTCAGAGGCTGGGCAAACAAGCTCCATGTTTACTGTGATACCTTTTTGCTGAAACCTCAGAACAGGTTTGGTTCGTGAAGACCTTTCAGATAAGCAGCAGCCAATGACGCTTCTTCAATGAAAAACTGCTAGTCTATTCAATTGTTGACTGCAATGCAATGATGACATAAGGTAAAGGCTTTAGATTGGTCCACGCTGTAGATTAAATCAGGAGATACTGGGACTCAGTCATAGATCTCTTCCACAAGACAAGAGGGAAACATATCAGGCTTCAGCATCAACATCAATGTTTTGACAAGTTTGTCGTGGTGAGTTTGCAATTATTTAATATCCAATTATTCGAAACGTTGTAGTTTACCACTCAGTCCTTCAGTGTAGGTTATGGTATACAAATGCAATTCACTTGACAATTTGGTTACATATTTTATGTCATTTTATTGTTAAGAGGGCTGTTCAGATTTGTTTTGGGGAAATTGATTTTCAAAATAGAGATTTAGTTTTGTCATTTTGAATTTTAAAGATTGGCTTAACAGTGATGCAGTGTGGACAGTGGAGAAGTCATTAGAGCTATGGAAAAGATAATTTGGGACTAACTGCGAGCTTAGATTAGAATTTTTAAAACGGCATTTTCAATGTTTTGGTTTTCTGAATGACTCTTTCTGTAGATGGCGATTCATATAACTGTGACTTAGTGTGAAAATATTGACACCAACACCAAAAACAAAAAGAATACCATACAATGTCACTCATATTTAAATACAAATCAGCAGAGGGCACATTGAATTATGAGCAAATATGTAATGTTACTGTTCATTTTTGGCTTTGTGTTCCTTTTTGGATTTGAAAGATTTAAGATCTCTGAACTTGAATTGATATTTCAGTTTTTCACACTTTTATGTTTTACCTTCCCTTCTCAGCTATTGTTTAATATTACTGCTTTATTGAATAAGATACCAGATATCCAGAATGTTAAAAATATTTTCAGCTGTTAAAGTAAAAATGTAAAAGACATTTCAGTGTGATACAAATTCTAATTTAACCGGTGGATAGACGAACAATGCTTCATAGACAAGCAGTGATGATATACTTGTTATCACTGCTTGTCTTGACATGTTGTTATTAAATAACTATACCTTCTGTTATGTCTGGTGGAAAACAGAAAATGAATGTTGATTTCACTGTATTGGGACTCTCAGGTTGAGAGTGCATTGATCATTTTATTGATTACATTACATTTTTATGTTGCCAGAGAGGTCTGACCTTTCAGGATGAAACGAAGAAGGACGGGTCTCAAATCAAAGTGCCAGACGTTACCCTCCCATCAGAAGAGGGCTAAGAGACATAAGTGGGGGGCGTCCAGCTTCTCCCCGCCTCAATCGGAGGATTGGGGAAACCTGCCCCACTATGTTGTCCTGCAAATCTTCCAGCATCTGTCCCTGGTCGACCGGGCCAGGGCTTCATCTGTGAGTCGCCGCTGGAATGACGTCTTTCACACCCCAGACCTGTGGAGGAGATTTGAGTTTGAGCTCAATCAGCCGGCGACGTCTTACCTGCGCTCCACTCACCCTGACCTCATTCAGCAGATCATCAAGAAGCACGCCCAGCACCTGCAGTACGTCAGCTTCAAGGTAAGAGTCTCTCCTGCTGTCATCGCCTTCACCTCCTCCCCCTCCATTTTCACAACACAGCTGTGCTAAAACACAATGTTAATCCAAACCATCTGCTGCTCAACTGATCATGACTCATCAGCTGTCTTGGCATGAGTGCACTTAACACATCTAGGCTGAGAATGTTCTCACACTCATCTTTCCATTCCTCGTTTTTGTGATTTTTTTCCCCCTCTTACCCAACTGGTGAACCCCGGCTGGTTAATCAGGTGGACAGCTGTACAGAGTCTGCAGAGGCGGCCTGTGACATTCTCTCCCAGCTTGTTAACTGTACCATTAAGACCTTGGGACTGATCTCCACAGCACGACCCAGCTTCATGGACGTGTCTCAAGTAAGAGGCTGTCTGTGCTTTATATGCACTCTGCAACACTTTCACTGATGACATACACAAGGATCCAGATTAGACATGTGATGTGTGCCATTTGTATAGAAATCTGAGGAATTCAATCCATCATGACAATCTATAGCAGATTTATTTGGATAAAAATGTCCCTGATAATTTGCAAATTGATCTGGTAAATATTGAAATTTTACAGTTCAGTTAACTGAAAGTTGTTTGTCTTTCCTCAGGCTCACTTTGTCTCTGCACTGACGGTCGTATTTGTCAACTCCAAGTCCCTCTCCTCCATCAAGATTGACGATACGCCTGTGGACGACCCGTCCCTCAAGGTGCTGGTTGCCAACAACAGTGACACTTTGAAGTTGCTGAAAATGAGCAGCTGCCCTCATGTCTCCCCAGCAGGTAAATATACTTAAGCAAAATTATTCCAAAATCTGTAAGATTCATATTCAGGGCACCATGAATGTTATTAAAATAGCAGTAGCGGTCCATTAATTGCTGGCAAAATCCCTTTGGACCAAAGTGATCAAACAATGCACTGAATGACCCACCCCAAGAAAAAAGCCAATTATTAATTTTTGTTCCCATCCTGATGTTCCTTATCTCTCTGTCCTCAGGTATCCTGTGTGTTGCAGACCAGTGCCATGGACTCAGGGAACTGGCATTGAACTACCACCTCCTGAGTGATGAACTCCTGCTAGCCCTATCCTCTGAGAAACATGTCCACTTAGAACACCTGCGCATCGACGTGGTCAGCGAGAACCCTGGGCAGACGCACTTTCACACCATCAAAAGGAGCAGCTGGGAGGCGTTAGTGCGACACTCCCCGAAGGTCAACATCGTCATGTACTTCTTCCTATATGAGGAGGAGTTTGAGCCCTTCTTCCGAGAGGAGACCCCCGTCACGCACGTGTACTTTGGTCGGGCGGTCAGCAAGGAGATGCTGGGCCGCATTGGATTGAACTGCCCCCGGCTGGTGGAGCTGGTGGTGTGCGCCAACGGCCTGCAGCCCCTGGACGAGGAGCTGATTCGCATCGCTGAACGCTGCAAAAGCCTAACAGCCATTGGGCTGGGCGAGTGTGAGGTGACATGCAGTGGCTTTGTTGAGTTTGTAAAGATGTGTGGGGGCAGGCTGACTCAGCTGTCAATCATGGAGGAGGTGTTGATCCCAGACAGCAGCTACAACATGGAGCAGATCCACAGTGAGGTGTCCAAGCACCTGGGCCGCATCTGGTTCCCTGACATGATGCCCACCTGGTAGACTGACATGTAGCCCGACTAGACTTAAAAAAGAACATAAGGTTTATGATGCCTGCATTAGTTGTTATAACAGTTGGACATTTCGTTTTTTCACTGGCATAAAGCTTCAGTATCACCCTGCATTGTAATTGAGGGCAGGAGTTGGTGTTTCATTTGTATTTTTACCTGCAGTGATTGTGATGTAAAACTACTGTGTTTTTCTCACTTACTAGCACCAACACTATATTTTTTTCTGGCTTTATTATGAGTACTCAGCTTTTTTTCAATTCATAGATATTTTAAAGTGAGAGTTCAGGTTGTTGTTGTAGGGTCTGACAGTCGATTAGGGAAAGTCTGAATTTAAAGGCACCGGCCTCAATCTTTTTGTATTAAGGATGTAGGTCTGCCCTCTGCTGGTTGCTTGTGTTATGAGCATGACATTTAAGATGGCAACAACAATTCTGAATCTACAATTTAAAGGAAATGTAATCCTTCATTTGATTTTTGGTCCTATTATATTATCATTGTATGTAGCTTAATGAATTCTAGGGTTTGTTTTTTTGTGGAATTGTGCTTTACTTTATTGATCTGAAAAAAAGCTGCCTCAGTCATGTTTGTGATTTCCTATATTTCGAAGGATATAATTTAAGAGTCTTCACAGTTGGAGGTAGTGGAAGGAGCATCAATAAAAGTTATAGTAACAAGGGCAAAGGCGAACAAGAGATTCTAGTTCATTCATAGTAAGGTTCACACCTTCCGATAAACCCCCCTGAGCCTTTCGTATTCTTGTATTTTCGAATTAGTGTCAGCGGAGTTTCAAATAGTTTACCTTCAGCTACAACATTAAAATATGGTGTTCAGTATGTTGTGATGATTACTTTTCTTGATTTACACGTTCTTATCAAAAGGGGGGGATTTGACTTCATAATGATTATCTTCTGTCAGGTTCACATTTGATGAAATAGTAGACTGAAAATAATCTGTAAACTGATGAGAATAATCATTTTAAGCCACCAAGTGACCAAGCTCTGTTCTCGTTTTATACGTTTTGTGATCTTTGTTGTCGTCCATTAATAAACACATGTTTTATAAAAGACAACCAATGTCATTAAAAAACAATGTAATACACTTTCAGCACATGTAGTTATAGTAACGGCGTTATAGAGCAGCTAGGGCGACTTTTCTTTTTTGTAATGTTTTTATTCTAAATATGCAGAAAGTGGAACTTCTAACTACATCTTAATTTGTTTTTAAGCTTTTATAAAGTTTATTTTGTATTTTACATGAGCATTCTGTTATTAAAAAGCACTAGCTAAAGGAAATTATTTTTTTTCCACCTGATGTCTTTTCTGTATTTAAAATAAACTTTTTGCTGCAGTTGTCAATATACATGTTAAGAATAACGTTTGTGCAAAATTGTCACAGTATAGTTTCAGAGTATCCAGTGCTAAACTGCAGCATATGACGCAACTACTGCAAAAATTTGCCTTGTACTTCTTTATTTGTCAATACATTATTTCTATCAAACATCTACACAGTTTCATGTGTTGCACTTTATTTTATTTTTTTCTTGTACTGTATTTAATCTTTATAAAAAAAATATGTAAAATTAGATAAAACATGTTCTTGTAGTTGTAAAACACCGGACCAAGTCTCAGCTGTTGTAATGTTTGTTTTTCTGACTTTGTCCCATTTGACCTTTGAGCAGTTCTTCATTTTCACCACGAGAGAGCAGCAATGATCTAAATAGAGGAAGTGGGACCTTATATAAGCAGAGTTGCTGCTGTAGAATCAAGTATGCCAGCGATAACTCAGCCCTTTTTACAAGTGGATTCGGCTTGTGCACACTCCATTTACATAAAAAACCCATCAGACTGTGGAACTGAGAAGTCTTCTGATTCCTCTGAATGTATCATTTTCTTTTAACACAGAGGGGAACACACATCAGGAGCACAGACAGTGGCTGTGTTTACATGTTTTTTTTTTCCCCCAGCAGATTTCTACAGATATATAAATATTCCACAAAAATAGTCTCAGGCCTAGTCTATATTTAAGAGCTGTTTTTTTATGCTGGCAAATTAAATGGAAAATCTGTAAATCAGACACGTGTTTGCCTCAGTGACAGGATGCATTGTAACTGTTAATGCTATGTAGGTGAGAGGAATACATCAAACTAGCTAAACATTTTGTACTGGAAGAGTGCCACATTTTGGAAGGGTGGGTGGCATGACTAATTGGGTTACCAGCGTGCTCTGAAAACCCATCAGGAAAGTAACAGGCTTATGTGTTCACTATGGCAGCTTGTTATAAGCAGAGTAAGGAGGAGAGGCCCTACATGCTTTTGTCAAGTTCTTTATTACAAAATGAACTCATCAACCCAATGATGATGATAGTTTGTCATGGGGGACAGTGTTTCTCCCTAATTTATGTAAAATCCCAACCTAAAAATGAAACACCAAACAGGTATCTCGTGTATATGAACCACTTCAGCTTCAGCATATTTACACATTTTATGAATAAATAATCACCGTATTACATCACATTTTTTGAATGAGTCCTCACGTGTGTAGAGTCCTTTCACAGCTGTCAGTGAGGACATTCAGTGTGAATTCATCCCCCATGTCAGAGACAGTGGGAGATTGGGGATAAATGTCCACAGGGCTCTCCAGGTTGGGAGAGGATGGGGTAGAAAACCTGGAGCATTTGACCCCCCTGCTGCCCCTGAAGCTCCTCCACTCCTTGATCCACTGCTCCCTCGCGCAGGGGTCCATTCGGTCCAGCTGCCTGGCTTGCAGGAGCGGGGAGGGGGCGATAGAGTTCCTCAGCACGTGAAACATGTACCTGGGGGAGAGAGTGTGGTGGTGAGAAAGTAGGCCAGAGAAAAATATGCGGCCCTTTGATGTAAATCAGAGCGTTCCCTCTAAATATCAGCGCATTCAGACGCATCAGCAACCAGGAGGAAGAGCGTGCCGCGCTACAGTCGTTCCGGGACCTCACAATTAACATTAATTACAAATCCGTTTAAACTTTCTATGCACAAAAACACCTCACAGTTACATGGCAGATGATGACCAAATACACACTCAGAAATAACACTATTATCATGAAGCGGTGTGTGACCTTTTTGACATTTGACTCCTAAAATGTCTACCTATAATTCATCACATGCAGCGGGGAAAAAAGAATACAGTGTCCATAAAATCCTTAATTTTATCTTCTATTTGAAGGATTTTATTGGTGTAAATGGTTTAATGTGTCAAACACTTCAAAAGAAAAAAGCTGAAATTAAATGTTAAAGTGTAGAAAAATAATAAATAATAATAATAATAATTATAATAATAATATTCTATTTCCTTACACAGTCCTTGGACCCCAAAGGAAAGTTATACAACCTGTCCGGGGAAAACAACGCGTAATGTTCTTTTTAAAATTAGATCTAGATTTTAAATTTAAGATCGTAAACACCTTAAGTAACAGTTAGTGTGAGAAAACTTCATGAGTTTAGTTGGGCTCTGAGATATGAAATACACAAAGTCACCTCAGTTCCATGTTTTCATTTCTGTTCATTTATTTGTCATTTCCTGTTTTATGGGTAAACACACCCTTGTCTCTCTGTCTTCTAGATCCTGCTCCCCTGTGTTCCCTACCTTGTTTTTTACCCCTGATTGGCCTCACCTGCGTCTCGTTAGCCCTGATTGCCTGTGTATTTAATCCCACTGTATCCTTCCTCATGTTGTCAGTTCTTTGTGTCTTACATAGCAAGTTCCAGCCTTCTGGTCATGAGCCTGCTGAAAGTTTTTTTTTTTTTTTCTGGTGTTGTCTTTTTGATGCCATTTGTTGGATTTGTCTGCCTAGGTTTTTAAATACTTGTGTACTGACTTTGGTCCATTATTAAACTGCCGATTATCGTATCTGCCCATGTTTGAGAGGTAAAAGAAGAAAGTCGTGAAATAATAAATAATTCAAATTCAAGCAAGAAAACGATAAAGCAACTCTGACAATGACAAAGGCACATGAAATTACCCCACGCCCCACAAGGAGAATAACAGTGACGGTACCTGGGCAGCAGAGCCACCACAGTCGTGATGATACAGAGAAGGTAGAACATGGGGTCGGCCATCTGGCTCTGAAGGATCCAGTACGGGTTGGATGGAGGGTTACAGGTGATGCAGATTCCGCTGTAGGCGAGTGTGACTATAAAGTACATTGCCACACTGCCCAACATGACTACCCAGTGAACCCACGTCTGCAAGACCAATGTATAAAACAGCTATTAGAGATGGTGATTACTAACTTAACCAGTCAAACAACTGTGTAAAATGTCCGTTTTGTATTGAATATGCTAACAGGGTTCAACAAACATGTCATGTTAAAAATGTCTAGATACTACAGTAAACCAATAACTGTCTGAATGCATTCTTACGAAATTATCTAAAAATGGGAATTTGAAATCACTGGAAGTAAACTGGGATTATGTTCGAAACATATCCATTAGTGCAGCACTCACCCAGGCTTTAATCTCTATGGACAGATGCAGCAGGATGGTAAACAAAGAAATTGTGTTCAAAGGAGTCCCGAAGGTAAAAACATCAATGTCGGAATCCTTGTAAGCCTACAGGAGATAACACATTATGAGCCAGTGAAATAACTTGTAACTCATATGACATGTTACAGATGCATCTTTGCACAATGTTGAATCAAAGCGACACATCAGGATGTTTATCTTACCAAGTATGGAATAAAGAAGCACACGAGACTCTGATAGAAAGCGTCCAGCATGGAAACCCAGAAGGTTGAGAACTTGTATTCCTAAACAAACACACATAGGGATAAGGGTATATTCTGCATTTAACTCAAGATCCTTTTGTCTTCTTCAGAACAAATAAGTGGAACTATTGTTATTCATTGTCACTGACCCCTGCGCCCTGTCCGGTCCTGTACAGCTCAGGGACACCCAGCAGCACCTCAGCAGAGACGTCTTTGTCCATAATCCCAAACATGATGGGCGGCAAAGAGGTGAAGAAGAGATTAAAGAAAATCATCAGCCAGTAGTCAATCATGGCAGTGCCCGAGAAGCCGCAGAAGAACTGATACCAGAACAGCAAGTTCACGTAGGCCTGGGGAACACATAAAACCGTGCATGAATATGTGATGATATAGAGAAAATATGTCAACAGAGACAGCAGATCACTTTATTAAACAGGACTCACCACATTCTTATAGAAGAAGTAAATGATCATGTTGGCCAGCCGAGTGTAGCACCAGTGTCCATGAACCAGGAGAAGTTTTCTCAAATGTTTGAAGTGAGATATAGAAAAATCACTTGCCATGACCGCCTGCAGGTGACAAAAAGTTTTAAATGGTAAGAGTAGCAAAAAGAAAGACTCATACTTTTCAAAGCTTAAGACTCAATTCAGACCTGCATGCCCTCCTGTCCGGATATCCCAACACCAACATCGGCTGCTTGGATCATATTGACATCATTTGCACCGTCACCTGAAGCCAAAGAGTGAAAGTCAGTTTAACATCAACTACACTTTTTGCATTTATTACCTTACTATGCAGTTCAATTCAAATTGAATGTAAAAGTTGTTTTTAAAGAATATATTTCAAATATATTCTGTTTATAATAAAACAAAAGTAGCTTCCCGCTTGTAAAAAGATGAATCTACTGTGATTTCCTCTAGTAGAACTTCCTCACGTCGAAGAAGGCATTCAAATAACTTATTGAAGTGACTCAGCAAGACTCAAATCTGAAAATGTAAAGTCTAAGGCCCAACAGTCAATTTCTCAGGAGGTTCAATGACTCAGAACAAGATAAGAAAACCTGAAAGAAGTAGAGAAAAATTACCGTGAGATTCCCTGGTGAATTTTGCATTCTTTCACTAAACCAGGTCTTCCACATGAAATGACTGACCTCTACCCCCATTTTTCAAAGTGTTACCGTTTAAAACACAAATGTTACTAATAGCATTATCAACATTATTTCTTCTATTTAAATGTCCAAAGGATCCATGAAAGAATGAAAGTGAATCAGGCTGCCAGACCAGGCCTCTGAAACTGAAGCAGCTAAATGGGATTCAGCCATCATGGAATGATTTATAAACACTGCTGCTGTTATTGCTGTAAACTCTTAAAATGTGTCAGTGTTATCAGAGAATTATATCGCAGCCAGTCTGATATACGATGGTAAATAAGTCATATGAAAAAAAGACTTCTGACCACAGTCTTTAAGGGGCCAGCAATATTCTTTGATTTTTTGATTAAGCTCATCCTATTGTTTTTGTTTTATAGTTTTGATTTTTACAGTTTTCTTTTTATACTGTTAGTCAGATCAATAGTCCAATATAAATGCAACAACAAAACTTTCTTACCAACAGCGAGGGTCATGACCTTGAGTTTCTCCCTGACCACCTTCACCACTCTGCTCTTCTGTAAAGGCGTCACTCTGCAGCACAGCACAGAGCGACAGCACTTTGCCAGCTCCAAGAAGCGGTCCCGCAGGTCTGACTCCAGGGCCATGGTCAGGGTCCGTCCATCGATCACCAGAGAGATGTCCGGGGTCGTGTCCACATTACGAGGGTCTGCGCTGTACCTCCTCACCTCCTCCAGTGTGCAGTCCAAAAGGGAGGTGCACAACAGCTGGAAAACAAGATCTCCTTATTTTGCTGATCATATATTATAATTTTTATGATTATTTACGTACTGGAGCTGAAAAAAATGAATCATTAACAGTTACAGTAAAAGTTCCAGATTCTCCAATGGGAGTAATTCCTGTTTTTGTCCGTCTTTATGGAAAGGTCAAATTAAAATATTAGATTTTGGAAGGTTAGGCAAAAATAAGCTGACAAAAAAAATAATCGTAAGATGACATCTTTGGTTATTTAAGACAAACAAAGGGCTTTGTATCTCCCAGTGTTTATAATTGATATACAATATATATCAATTAATTCATAGATTATTCAAATATATTCAATTTATCCTTAATGGAAATAATAGAGCTGATAAAATATGTCTTGTAATCCAAAATTAAGGATAAAATATACATTTTCTTATAATAAAGGTGGAATATTGAAGACAAAACAAAACTTTTCAGCAGTAGAGTACTGTGCTGGTACTCTGCTGTTGAGTCATGTTCATGCAATTAGGGAGCTCAGGTGGTCCCATCAGACTTATCATTGTTGTGTGTAAGTGACTCCTGCCTGTTAGCCAAACGGAAAGTAGGAATGATGAAAAATAAATGGGTCACATCCCCTTTTCCATATAATGCATCTAATGGTGGTTAAATTTCATTAGATGTGGTTGGGTGGTGTCTGTGGGAATGCATCCCTCAGATGGTCATCAAGTTACAGGGGTAAAAATAGTTCATTACCAATTACCCTCCTCTCTAGATCATGAGCGAGGCGGTATTTCCTCTGAGTGTTGAATATTAGACTGGCAATTAGATAGGAAAGTAGCAGATATTGTATTGGGGGTATCTGAAGCCATTCATCATGAATGACTGGTCCCATCTGAGAGGAGCTGTCTCTTTGTTCCGGAAAGCTTCCAGAGTATCTGTTAGAGGTAATTTTGGCCTATTTGAGGCAGGGGATGAGGAGGAGCAGTCAGGTTGTTATGAAGGGTTCCTTCCTGTGCTACCACATCTTTAATGACCCTCAAAGAAGCGGGGCCGACACCTGAGAACTTATTTTTCTCAGGTGGAAATGTGAGCGTTTGACCTTTAGTTAAAATGTAAAAGTGGTCAAAGAGGTTTTGCCATTTAAATTGGATGGGACAAGCTTCAAGATAAAACCTCCTGAACTCAGTGCTTTGGAAAACCCATGACATATGAAAGGAAATATACAGTAAAAAACAGATGGACTTAATCTTTTTTTAAATGCACGTGCATCCAAATTGTTTGCTAGGCTAAGCTCATTAGCATCAGTTAAACAGCAAAGCGTGGCATCATAAAGTTGTTAACACCTATATTGCTCACCTTTATTACAAGGGTGGGCCATGCATTTTAGGTTTTTAATTGAAATTCTCTTTTTATCTGTACAAACAAAGAATCAAATACTCTGATTAAATTAATGAACAAATCTATCTGTGGCTTTTGTGCACCTATCTCCCTGCCAAACTGTTCACTCTGCCTGTGCACTCAAAACTCAGAAGTGAAGCCAGGGCCCTCTGTCTGTGCACTGACCAGCTTTCATACAGCTTACAACCTGCAGCAGAGACAGAACAAAGATGACACAGAGCTCCGATGGTAAAGGAAGTAGTGCAGCGTCCACTAGCTAAAGCGAACAAGCTTTCGTTAGTAGCACAAGAATGGCAACTGGAGAGGCTTTTTGATAGTTTGATATGTTACCCTTGAACTGAGTACATTTAGCTGTTTTCTGTGTTCCCAGCACTTACACTAAGCGAAGCTAGGCTAACTGGCTGCAGGCTACGACTACTCATCAAGAAAATGATCTTATTTTATAAAATTGACTTTTTCATTTTTTAATTCATCTATAATTAACCAACACAAATTATAGCAATATATATTTTTAAGATTTATTTCTGGGCTTTTTTATAACTGTTTAATATTATTATTGTTATTGGTTTTTGTGGTTATTATGCTTTGGCAATACTGTCTTTATTACATTCATGCCAATAGAGCTTCATGACTTGAATTGAAATTGAATAAGAAATCACTATTTATTATTTCACATCAAATTGCTAACATTCAGTGAGGCAGACTGCGGCCTTCTCACCTTGTTTTTGCAGCTCATGTTAATCACCAGGTCCTCCTCTTCCAGTAGCCTGCAGGCATAGCCGATGTTGACAGCTGTCTCCGTCTTGTCACCAGTCAGCACCCACACCTGGATCCCTGCCTCCCGCAGCGCTACGATGGTGTCTGGGACGCTCTCCTGCAGACGGTCCTCGATGCCTGTCGCCCCTGCAGGAGGACAACATATCAAAGTTTGGTATGATTCACACACAGAGCTTGTCACATATATGTTTTTGAAGTGCTTACGGCGACTGATGCGTGTTGGGATGATGCATGTTACCTAGCAGGGAGAGATTTGTCTCCAGCTCCACAGCAGAGTCCATAACAAGCTCCTCTCTGTTCTCTATGGCAGCCAGGGCCCTCTGTCTGTTCACTGACCAGCTTTCATACAACTTCTCACTTACAACCTGCAGCAGAGACAGAAGAAAGATGACAAAGAGCTCTAATGGTACAAGTATAATGCTTGTTATTATATAAGTATGATTTTGTACCTTCTTTGTAAAGCAGAGTGTTCTCAGTCCTTCTTTAGCGTAGCAGTCGAGGTGATGCTGAGTATCTGCTGCTATATTCTTCTGATTTCCACTGAGACGTTCTGAAAATAATATCATACAGTATTAAAAAAGTTGCACAGTTTCTTGGTATCAACAAATTCATCATGTTTTAATACAAGTGATATATATGTGTGTGTGAATGCAGTTTCACCTGCACATACCTGCATATGGAGTACCTAGTAGCTCCATGATGGCATAGTCTGCACCTTTAGTATATAGCACATACTCTTTGGTGATTGGGTGTCGCACCAAGACAGACATTCTCTTCCTGGTTGAGTCAAAGGTCAAGGTTGCCAGCAACTCAAACACAAGCTCCTTCCCCGATGGGAGCCTGACAGTCACGCTGTCAGGGGTGCGGGCTAGCAGAATGAAGCCATATGCCTTGGCTGCATGCACCAGGGCGGCCTCATCTGGACTCTCTGCCTCATAGCTCAGATTATCTGAGGCCGCAGCAGGCTTGACAGGCAGAGAAGGAGCATGAAGAGAACATGTTTGTAACCCATCCATGTCTTCAGACCCCATCCCTTTGACAGGGGTTTTAATGTGATCCTCTTCTATTACTGAGTCCTCTGCGATGGTGCCATTTCTATTCCGTTTGCGATAACAGGAGGTACAAATACTGCAAATTTTTGACCCACTTGGAGAAGGAAGCCAGTGGCTTACTTGTCTGAGTGGAGCGGGAAACCCCTCTTGCCTGGAAAAACTATCTTCTTTTTTTAGTGTGTTTTGTTCAAAAACCAACTTTTTGCTCAGAGGCCCATATGGTGAGCCTTGTCCACTGTTTCACTCTGATCCTTTTAGCACTTTTCCCTTAGATTATAAACTCCAGGGAAACTCCACATTTTCCTCCCATCTGCCAGACCTCAGAACAGCACAGTCAGGAGCAGCGAGTGCTAAATTTAATAAAGCCTATCCCTGATTGCCTCTGCACATTACCTTTACTATGTGGCTAATTCAGTAAGGAATCTTTACAACTGGGGCTTCAGAGATGGGAAAATTTAGTACTGACTACTGATGAAAGAACAGAAAGTGTAACAGTTGAAGAAATATCTCAAATGAAACTAAATCTGTAAGGTTGATAAGTGCTATTTAAGCTTTTGTTAAACTATGTGTGTGTTTCTGATTGAATTATGGGGCTCTTGCAGCAGTGCTCTAGCCATATCGATGAACTCCAGGAGTTCAGGTAAAAACTGTGAAGAAAACACGTAATAGATTCTGTACATTGTTATGTTGATGCAAAGTTTGTTTTTGTTTTAAAAGTTTGCATACAAGGAGTGTCATGACAACAAATACTACATCCATCTTTTCTCTCCCGACAGTGCCCTCCGTCTCCTCTTCCCATACACAGCCGCAGTAAACTGAGCACTCACCCTCTGTCTCTGAGCTGTTGCCATGGAAACCACCACCGTGTTGCAAATGGTGAGAGCCAGAAAAAAGTCCAGGTAAGGATCTATCATCCCACTGCCACTGCTGCTCTGTGCCCTGCTAAGCTGCTGAAGCAGCATCCTGTCTGGAACCACCTCAGTTTCCTGTGGAGTTAAAAGTTAATCATAATTTTTAATTAAAAACACGTGTTGTTAAATAAGTGTTTGTTGCATATGCTTTGCTTTGAACGGTTTGGAAAAACAGGATTAGAGAAAGTTTTTAGCTTCTAACCTTTTTATCCACTTCTGTTTGCCTGAATGCACAGCAAAACGTTCCATTCATACATCTGTTCTTTTATATCAGAGACACAGCACGAGGGGGAAACCTGGGCTCTGTGCAGCCTTCTTTGGAACAAACACAAGTCTTTTTCCGTCTCATCCTGTATCTCCAGGCTTCTGCCCTATTCCCTCCATGCACAAAAATAGCTCCGGAGTTACTCTACTGTACATCAAGCCGAAGGTGACTAATTTATAGTGCACGTTTACAGTTTATGTGAAATCAGTGCTCTGTGCCAAAAGATGCCCAGCGTGACCATATGTCCCGTCACAGACACAGGCATAACTTTGAGCCAAAATGGATGTGCTCATCATGACACCTAACAGCTCAGCCATCTGCAGCAGGGCCTGGGACCATGAGGCCTTTTAACACGGGGTTGGGTGAGAATTAGGTAAACAAATGTCACTTTAGGGCCCATGAATAAAGACACTGAACATAACATAATGAAATAATTCCCTTTTTTTGAATATAGTTACTGGAACACTCAGTATTTTAAAAATCCATGCTCTTATCTATAGATACTTGTGACTCAATTTGAAGATACATTTTGAAAGAAAAAGAAGATGAAGAAGAATTTGAGCTCCAAATTCAATAAATATTGGATTTATTTCTCGATGTGTACAATGCACACTTAAACTTCATTATTCATGAATTATTATGTTTTATCATAACAGCCTGTCAGCTCTGTGATAAACTACCAATCTATACTGGATATATACTTCCCCTCAGCCAATCCATACTTAGATAGCCCCCAGTCCATGACCATAACACTAACCAGATTAAGATAAAGACGTTAATTTGATTTTTCTTTTTTTAGGGATGATGCATACTTCGTTCCGGTACAGAGCATGGGACTTATGTGTTACACATTAGTGTTTTCTAATTTTCAACTCATCTATAGTTCTGATTTTACATGTAAAGCGTAATAAAATACACTGTTTATTTTTCTCTACTGATAAAAACACATACTGTTTTGTGTACTAGTGAGTCACTGTCATAAATAGGTTACCTTTCCATTCAAACAGAAAGGTAAGACAAGACTTTATACTGTCACTTCTACAGTACATCTCCCAACAATGTGGTAGAACTATTCACACTGTAAAATAGATTTTTAAGCAGTTATATTTAAGTTGCTCAATTATGTTTATAAATCTATACTTGTTAATCAGGTAGAATGAGTGTGATTCAAGGCTCCCCAGGTGTAAACTATATGGATATTTTCTACATGACCAATGTGTGAGATGCTGAACACCCTTTGACCCATTGTTTCTTCTTGTTACCCTGCACTTAAATATCAGATACACCTCACAAAAACACCACACTCTGAACGAAATGATCTATTTCCTGATTGAATGATAACTTTACCAGCTCGCTGCTGAAGGCCACGTCCGTTGATGCGCTTCTCGAGAGCTTGCGCCTGCGTCTGCCACGGTGGTGTTGACGTGTGTCCACAAAGTTGTTTCCCTCCAGGGACCCATCCAGGGACCTTGTCGTCTTTGTAGGTTGAGGTTTTTGGTCGAAGATGACATCTTCCTCTGTTTCTTCACCTTCAAGAACAGCTAGGCGGATGGCTGTAAATTCCAGAAAATATTAGATCCACTTAGCATATGCAGACGAGCAAGACAAAATCACACAAGCAGGTCAAACAATCTTGTATCTTATTATTCAACTACATATCTGACATTAAACATTCACAAAAAAGCAAACCAGGAAGTGCATTTCACTGAACAGGTGCTAACAATCATGACATTAAAATAACCTTTTGATTAATAATGTAAATATTATTTGACTTTTATCAAAAGAAGAATAAAATGTATAGTTTGCACATGAGAAAGTCTGTAATGTGAGCTATATCACCTTGTTTTTGAGTTAGTACTAAGATTAGCATGCTTGCAAGCTTAAATCAATGTGTTCACACCATTGACTGTAAATATTATTGGACGAAGCCTGTGTGACGTCAGCCATCTGTTGCAGCAGTGGGCTCCGGAGGCTTGATTAGATTTCTGTATTTTATTCATGACTGTGGAAACACTTTTTTTTTGTATGCTGTGTTTTGTTTTTGTAAAGCACATTAAGCTTATCTGTAATGAAATGTGCTATATAAATAAAATTGCTAGCAATATGCTGGAAATGCAGTCTTAACTTTCATTAAACCTAACCACAGGCTGAAAGCTGGAGCTGAGGCGGATTTTAAGCCACTTGACAAACTGTTACATAGCGCCCACCTGTCAATCATGTCAGTTACACTCCTCACTATGGATAACACCTAACTTTTTCAAAGTCAGCACAGAGCTGTTTAAAAAAAAAAATCATCCCCGGTACGGCGTGTGCCATTCATGACAATAACTAAACAGACCTATTTTGTTTTTTGTATCAAACTTGTTTATTTATGCTGTAAAAACAGCTTTTTTGCCTGTTGTGTGTACGTGACTTCTGGTGTTCCTGGAGCAAGCCTCAAGCAGACACTCGACGAACTGCAGGATTTTGCACTTCCGCATTGGCTTCATTCTTTGAGACCAGAGGTTTGCCGCTTGGTTCACACCAATGTTAGCCCATTCTAAATTTCTAGTTAAGGGTTATCTTCACTTCAGATTGCAATGAAACTAGATCCCGACTGATTAAGCCAGCCAGCCGATAATATCAGCATATCCAGTGACTATTGTTATCGGCTATTTTTTTTAGAGCAGATATGTGCAGATATTACTAGATTTATTCACCAGTCAAATATCATTCCATTTGAGTATCATTGTATTACACTAGCCGTTCTTTTTCTGGCTGTCACCAGCAGATTGTGCTATATGGATTTCAACAAGCATTATCAAACTCAGTGCAGGGTGTCAAGCAGTGAAGCATGTACATGCGCAGTTACTTGAGTGACCATCTTGTCATTAGGTATTTGATAAGTACATTTGAGGGATCAACACAAAATGTGTGTATCTATCTATCTCGACAGACTAGACATAGATTTTAAAAAGATATTGGCCGATTTTATCCATATTAGATTTTCTTTCTCCCCAATATCAATATCAGTATTGGCCCCAACAATCGCATATTGGTCGGGCCCTAACTGAAACAAAAGGAAACAGAATTTTCAAATGCAGTTTGAATGGTGAAAAACATTTCAGTCCAAAGTCAATAATAAATTATGTTAAACCCTAAAAAAAATAAAATCATTATTTTTGCAAGAATACCATGCATTCATTTTGCATGCAAAAAGAGAAGGTCATGCAGAACAAAGTATCTCAACACAAACACATACCGTTGTCTTTGTGCGGGTACTCCGTGCCCATGACGGAGCATCTGCGGTACACCATCTTGTTCTCAGTGAGGGTGCCAGTCTTGTCTGAGAAGATGTATTCAATCTGTCCCAGGTCCTCTGTGATGTTCAGGGACTTACACTGCACCCGGCTGTTTGTGTCTGGGTCGTACATATCCACGTCATTATTGATGAAGAAGATCTGACCGATCTTCACCAACTCAATAGACAAGTAAAGAGAGATGGGAATCAAGACCTGCAGAGGAGACGAGCCAAAGCGGGAGGAGAAAATGTTAGAGGAGAAGGACAAGGTTAGAAGAGGAAAGAAGATGAGTTGAAAAAGACACAATAAGGATAAGAAGAGGGGAAGGAGTGAAGAGGAAATGAGAGGAACAGAAAATAAAAAAGAAGGAGAGGAATGAAAATAAGGATAGAAAAAGAGCGAAAAGGGAGAAGAGATGAAATTGAAGGCAACAAAAGACAGAAAGGAAGGGAGAAGATAAGGAAACCAGAGAAGACAAAGAAGGAAAGGAGAGGTATACAGCGGAGAGAAAAAAGAGGGATGGAAAGGGACGAGAAGAGAAGGGACATAATATGTGAGAATAAAAACAAAGAAAATGATGAGGATAAAAAGAGTGAGAGAAAAATGAAAAGATGAGAGGAAATTAAAAAAAAAGAGGTGCTGGAAATAGAAGATAGTGGAAGAAAAAAAGGAAAAAGACAGGAGACGAGAAATGATGATATGAAGAAATTAAGAAGAACGTCTTAAACTCTTTAATAAACCCTGTGAGACTCCTCCACCTGCAGCAGGATGATCATGGTGAAGAACATGTAGAAACCAGACAGACTTGGACTGTCCAGGTGACCGCTGCTGTCAGGGACCAGGTAAGGGGGCACACCAGGCAACGCCTGCAGCCATGAGTAGTGACCTGCATGTGTGAGGACATGAGGATTAATCACACTGACTGCCGCGTACGGAGGAGCTATTTTTAACACCACACCTTCCCCTGTCTCCTCCCTCGTCTCCCAATAAGTGTTCAGGCCTTCTGCCAAGGTGACTATTTTTTTTTTATGTCGTTGGAAATTAAACATCACTTCACTAATGTAAAAGCATTAATCATGAACCAGTCTGTGTTGTGATTTTATGGTCAAGTTATGTGATTCATTACTGACCAACTGCTCCGACGAGACACATGGCGAAGAGGAGAATGACGCAGAAGATGACGTCTATGTTCAGCTTCCGCTCTAGTTTGCTGCGCTTGTATCTCGGCCCATTGTTGTTGAGCATGGACTTGGTTTCATGGCCTTAAAGATGGGATGAGAATATGTTGATTCAGAAACCCACAGGAACTCCAAATGGTCAACTAGCAACAGGGAAATGGATGATCATAAACCAAAAATGTTTTTATTCTGGGTGAAGGAAAAAAAACAATGCCTGGGATTATCATGACACTGAGCTAATGTATCTTACATTTTGAAATAACTACTATATTTAAAAAATGTAAGAGTTCTTTACCGGTTTAACAGTTTTCAGATATTCCAGCAATGCATTTTAGACTGGTTCTGTATCTTTAACCCTGCTAGAAGTGTTGATCCAAGTTAATCCAAATGTGTTTAATATTTGTCCTAACACACTTAGACCCCAAAAATAACATCTTGTCTTTTCTGGTCCCTGACATTTCCACAACAAAACAGAGGTTTAAACTTTTCCTTTACCCCCCAAAGAATCTCAAGTTTTGTACAACTATTTATATTTCCCAATTTAACAAACTGTTTTCAGAGGTCAAAGTTGTTGTTTAAGTTGGCCAAGATGTCCAATTCTTTAAAACCAAAATCAGAATATATTGACATTAATATAAAGACATTCCCATCAGCCTAACTGTCCATTGTCTTTAGTGCTAATTAGCGAATGCAAATGTATAAATCTATGATTGTGAACACCGCAAACAATATACCTGCTTACCATTAGCACATCAGCATACTCAATGTTAGCACACTGAAAACAGCTGTTAGCACATCACTCCATATGCTACAATACAACCTGACAGAGGTGCTATACTTCACATATCTCTCATATGAATTTTTTTTTTTTGTCTTATCTTGTGTTTTGGGGATTTTGGAGGGTTAATTTGGACACATAATGTCTAGCCTGACTATGGCCCTTTACAACCAAAACAGTAAAATCTGAAAGTCAAAGCAGCCACGAAAATGGAGAATACCTGCAAACACCACAAAGCCAACAGCATGGTCCGTGTTCCTCACTGTGCAGCCTCGCAGCAGCAGACTCTCGATCCCAGCACCCACCTTCTCCTTATCAGGTTTCTCTCTGCGGCAGCAGGAGAAAGTGAGAAACCTCCTTTGTACTGTCAGATCTTGTTAGATATTCATTACTGCTTATATATTTTCCATTAGCCATTCTCCTGCTTTACAATCATAGCTGGACAGAATGGGCAGACCGGCTGTAAGAGCTGTGGTGCCCGAGGAAATCGATTATAGTCTATTACAGCCTCAATAATGCCTCTGGAGGCATCAGAAAGTGCAGCAAGTGGGTTGAAATTAGTTTTGCTTGGCTGCTCTGAAAGGCCCATAGAAGCTGTTTTGGGAAGCACGTGTGATCTGTCTATTTGATACTCACACAAAACACTTGAAATGGTTTAGATTATTGTTCGGCTTTTCACACACAACAATGCTGTTGAAGCTTTCAGGCTCAAATTCCGGATCCTGGAAAAAAAGAGGAGGCATGAAGTCACTACGAATATGAATGTATGAATGGAAACTTTATTGATGTAACTTAAGTTATCCTTTTAGAATAATATAATGATTATTAACCACAGAAAGACAACTGTTCTCCACAATTATTCATTTAAGGCACGTAATCCAACAACAGGTATGCATTTTTCCATTTGTCATTAGTGACTTTGACTTCAGCAGAGTGATTACATTTTACAATAAATGTTCAGTAAGTAATTTCAGGAAACAAAACAGTTGTTCTAGTAATGTGTGTAAAATGTAAATCACGAGGAGGAGGTGGAAGGTGAGGCAGCGCAGAGACATGTGAAGAAAGTTGAAACACAGGTGAGAAATGAAACCAACGAAACAATTACATCTCTATATTTCCTCACCGTGTTACAGAGGCCAGACATGGCCCTCCTCTGCTTCAGGTTGGTCTCTCCGTCCAGGTTTGACATCTCAACGAGACACACACTGTTGGTGTCTGATGTGTGCAGGAGCAGGAGGTCTGCAGGGATGATCTCATTGCAGAACACCTTCACAAAATCTCCCACTTGTACATCTTTCCAATGCCTCCCCATATACTGTTTTTCTCTCCTGAAATCAGACATGTCAGACACCAACACTCATTACAGTTTATCTCTCATTGTCACTGGGTGGCTGTTTTATTGATTTGCTGGGACTTTATTAACGGCCGTATTGGCACAGTGGGCGTATTTTGTCCATGTTTTTGCAACAAAGGTAATATTGGTGCAGTAGGGAAAGATACTAAATATTATGGCTTAAAAAAAAAAAACCACGGCAGCTGCACTGAAGAATAAACAATAAAAGCAAATTAAAAAATCAATGCTGTTGATTTTTTGAGAGCCGCCCAGGTGTGTCTGTGTTTTACGGAATAGAGAAAGTAGGGAGACACATAAATAGCTGAGGTAGTTTAAAGCTCCACAGAGAGCCTCATAGTTTGAACACGTTTGTCATGCTAGCTAACCAGCAGTGACAGAGAGCTACAGGTATGCTGCCCTGCATGTAGGACCTGATTGGGTAGCTGCCACATGACACCACACCTCACCACAAACAAAGCTGGACAGGGAGAAAATGTATTTTTAGTTTTGTTGTGTTTGGATAAGACTCCCCAGGTTGCACAAATATTTCTTGTTCGGAAAGCATTTTGTATGCTAACCGTATGTCATAAATCGTAGCATTGTCCAGTTATGGAAGGTCCATTTCACCAAGGCATGTTGTTATTCATCACACACATGTTCATCCATGACATGACACAATGAAAAACTTGTGAGTGATCTTCCACAGTTAAGAATAATTCTCTTTTGGAAATGCACTGCTTTACTAAGCAGAGTGTTGATGAAAATATAAATGCTAGAGCTATAACTGTTTAGCTAGTTTAGCAATTTGCTAAGTTAAAACGTTGGATACAGTTGGCTAGTCAAATGGCAGCATGAACATAGCCCACCCACCATGCTATTTTCCTTCTATGTTTCATCGTTACGCTCTGGTGTACTAAACTAGACCAAGACAAATTAAACTATCTAACTATCCTAAACTTTGCTTAAGCTAACTCGCTATTGGTTATAGATTCATCAAAAGAACGGAGAAATCAAACACGTAAACAAAATCTCTGACGGAAAAGCTATTAAACAAATTGAAAGTGTCGTCTTAAGATCTTCCTATGCATGGACAACCACTTTATTTGCCTGTGTTATGCTGTTAGATCGAATCATTACAATCTGATTGTAAGAAGTGTTAAAACTGTTTTATTGATGCTACCTGATGTGTCTTAATGATAAAGCATCAAAATAGACAAGTAGTAGCATTTCTTTTGTCATGATAAAGAGACGCTTAAGATAACCAGTTCAACATGAAGAGGAATATGCCTTCATGTATGTAATCACTAGATTTTGAGGTGTGGTTACAGGTTTTTAAAGCTCTGCAGCATTAAATCAAGATAATTTTAACAAGACGATTACATGAGTTAGGCATTCGATCAATAATATCTACCTGATTTCCTGTTTGGTATGTTTGAGCACAGGTGGATTGTTGAGAGTTTGAGATAAGATAAGATAAGATCTTTTATTGTTCCCTTGGGGAAATTTTCCTTTGACTATCCGGCTGCAATTTACAAGTTAAATAGATTATTAGATAGAGATGAGATGGATGGATGACCCTAAAGATAAGGGACTTTATGTTCAAAGAAACACATTTCACTCTCTTTAAAAAGGACATGCTGGTGAGGGGTGATATGAAATACAAATGTGCATCTGTAAAGGTCTGATGAGTTAAGGTAAATCACTGGTGGAGGTATTTACATGCACTGCAGCAGCTTTTCTCCATATAAAAGCCAGATGGATAAAGTTAACCTCAGAGAAGAACAGGAAATGTGTGTAAGCCAAAAATCTATTCTCGAGCTTCCTCTGGAATCATACGTATGTATACTACAAAGTAATTCCAGCTAATCGATGCTGTTCTAATCTTTACAAGACCAAATTGGAGCTTTAATATCCCCACTCAGGAAGCAGTGAGAGATCCACGGAAGCCCACTTGACACGATTCAGCTGCTGTTGGTGGGATTGTGTGAAAGACACCCAAGTCTGCTAGCCTGGACAGGCTGGTGAGTTTTCTAAAATTGTCTTTAAAATGCTGAGTCTGTCTTGTCTTAGCAAACCCCATTTAATTTAGCTCAATCTTTTATTTATTTGCTTATTTGCCTATTTTTTTTTCTCTCTCTCTAGTATTTTTTCTGATATTTTTTTTTCTGATTATTTATTCATTTTGAACGCACACTTTATCTCTCCCACTCTATATTTAGTTCTTTATGTTTATATTTAAAAAGCTGAGGACTGCAAAAGAGACTTAATTGTTTTTCTGTGACAATGCTCTGTAATATTGTTGCTGTCCAAATTCTGAAATAAAGAATTTCAAAAAATTAAATGCTGAGTCTGGAGTCTGCACCATAGGCCACCTGAACCCCTACACACACAGAGACAAACAAAGGGCATGAAACCGATTTTTCCCAAATACTAGCTGACTCCTCATGGGAGATTCGGAAGCTAGAAGCTGCTGGTTGATTTCAAACCCTTCCAGAGGCTGAATCTCTGAGGATTCATAATTGGAGGTGCTTCCAGTTTCAATTCATAACCCTCCTCCTCCTCCAACTCAACTCCAAAAATCATTGCAGGGAAAGGGTTGAAAATGTGTTTGTCCTCCTTTCTGATGAATTCGTTTTTCATCAGTAATACAAAAATAGATAACCGCTAACCTCACTGTCTTTGCTGATGCAACGCCTAGATGAGCATTGCATCAAATGTGCACAATGTAATGGTAAGAGATATTGTTGTGAGGATCTTCAAAAAAGGAATAATCTCCCACACTTTTTCTATTTGTAAGTCTAAAATTCTCACAGGGTGCTAAAACACAGAGGAGGTAAATCAGACACAAACAAACACAAACACAAACACAAACACACACACACACACACACACACACACATACAGTATCTTGCACACAATCACGCTGATCTACACACTCTCACAGATAAGAATCGTCGTGTTTCTACATACCACATCATGTTTTGAAGTGACATAGTACAGCATGTTTATTTAGAATATGGTTGTCTTTGAGAACCATGTTTTAAATAGACATGCTGAACTATGTGTTTACCTGCTGTAGATAAAGCATGGCATGTTGTTGAGCTTCCTGTCTGACTGGTACCTCCTGAAGTCCTCCCAGGCGTCCTTCAGTGCCGTCAGAGACATGATGACACAGATGGGAATCAGAGCCACCTCGGGCTGGAAGGCATTCACTACAGGTATAAAGTTCAGAATAGCAAGACCAACAAAGTAGATGTTTGCCAGGCGGTGAAACTGTTCAAAGAGGTTCACAGGGATGAAGAGGAGGAGGGAGTATTTGGTGGTTTTGATGGCATTTCCGGGAAAGTAGCGGTTAGGTTGCTTCCCCTTCTCCAGGCCCTCGTAAGGCAGATTGGACACCAAGCTGCGGAGGTCCTTATCTCTTGCCCTCTGACCTCTCAGAGCGTCCCTCACCAGTTCCAGAGGGCTCGTCCACGTCATGGCTACTTCTTCTTCTCACTAGTTTTTCTCATCCATCATCTTCAAAATCTTGCAGCTTCAGTGAGTTAAAAAAAATACAGTTGCCTTCTTGAATGTCATAAGGTATGTGAGTGTAAGTGTGTGTGAGTGAGGCCTTTTGTTGCCAGATTAAAACAAGTGACAGCACACCTACTTCTTTGAGCCCTCCCTTTTCATTAATAGGTGTGTTGCAGCAGAAAGGTATAGCCGTGTGTGCTCCAGTGACTCAGCTGATTTAAAGATTGCTGTCAATCCACCAGAATTTACATTCTTACATCATGCTAAGGATGGGAAACTCAAATACTATAATGACGTTGCTGCTTTCTTCAACGCTGCAAGTAGTCAAAAAAGGATGGGCTAAGAAAACTGTATCATGCAATCAATTCATGGCTTTATGATTACTGAGCAACTGAAATAAAATTAATAGTTAAAATTTGGATGGAATTTGGACAACATCTTAAGGTAATGCAAAATCTTGCCAACGCTAGCATTAAACTATTCCTTTCTAGCTTCATGTTTGCTAGGATTATGCAGGTTGGTAATTCTTCCTTTTTTCTCTTGTTTAATGTAACACCAACACAAAGTAATAACTTTTAGCCACTTCCATGCTAACAGCAATATAAGCTAGTTACTAGCTGAATGCTAACGAGATGGTGTCATATGCTAATTGGTCATCATATGTTGTTTTAACATTAGATATGGAAGGATGACCATCAGAATGTAACTTAATGCAACTACTTATTAAGAACCAGTAAAATAATGACATGTAAGATGGAAGCCCTAAGTGGACATGCAATGATAGATTTTATTTGCTCTTGTTATCTCAGGATAAAGAGAGCTGGTTTTCCCATTTTAACCAATTGAATTATCTAATTATCTCAAGAAAACAAAGTTATTCTCTGGTAAAACAAAGAAATAGGCTGGTCACTGTGCTAGGCCAGACCTACGCCAGTCATGCTGCCATTGCCTACACTAATGAGGTAAGTTAAGCAAATTTTGTGTAAGTTTGTTTCGTGCTTTTGCAACTCAGTGGCATATGAAATAAATAAGCAGAGATCTCATGAATACAACTGGAAATGACTTGAATCATAGGAAAAGTGAGAAAATAAAATGTATTAATGCATGTCTGCTGAAGTCTTCTACAGAAAACCTAAATTTAAACTAATTCCAACCTTGAACACAGCAAATACACTATAATGCTTGCGCTTTAAAACCGCATGACATCAGAGTAAAATGGCCTGAGTGTGAGTACGGTTCATAACACCTCCTCAGCAAATCATTGGACCAGAGCAACAATTGAGGTATTTCTTCACATTCGGCAGAGTTGCGTAGTTTTGTAGATTTTCCTGTCATCCATACTTGACACACACTTATAGATAAGATAAGCACAACACAAAGTTCTCAAATAACCTGACAATCCTATATTTGCAGAGCAGAAAATTGATGCAATTCACCATAGAGATATTTGACCGGACAACAGACACCAATCAGAGCATAAAGATTGCTCAGGGGAAACATAAGAAGAATCTGTAGAATGTGAATGAACACATGTAGCAGAGGGAACATACACACCTCATTCAGAAATAAACAGGTGGAGAAACAATGCGTGATAAAAAGCTCTTTGTTGCTCTCAATGTGACTTAGGGTAGTAATTAGCATAATTTGGTGAGTGTGGGGTGAGTTATCAGTTAAATAATAATGTATACTTTATTGATCCCACGAGGGGAAATTCATTTTTACACTCTGTCTAGGTAACATGCTACACAAACATAGGCTGAAATACACACACACAAACAGGATCCTATAGACATGCACTAATGGAGAGGTTTCAGAGTGAGGGGGCTGCCCGCAGTGGGCAATCCTGAGCTGGTGGGGGAGTTAGGTGCTTTGCTCAAGGGCACCTCGGCAGTGCTCAGGAAGTGGACTGGCACCTTTCCAGCTACCAGGCCAATTTCTGGACTTGGTCCGTGCCGGGACTTGAACCAGTGACCCTCTGATACCCAAACCAAGTCCCTACAGACTGAACTACTGCCGCCCTGTCTGAAGGTTATTAAGCACATATGCAAGAAAGAATACTCATAGAAGTTTAGTTGTAACTACACATTTTCATCATGTTGAATACACAGAATAGGATTATTGCCTGTATTTAGATGCATGTGATGGATCATAACACAGCAGCTTCTTGCACAGATTGTATGCATGTAGGATGCCTTCCACTTCCTCAGGTTAACATATGTTGTCCTTTCCAGAGCCGGTTGCCGAACCTGTTGAAAACCAGGTTGCTGCTGGTCCTTTCATTTATTGCTCTAATGTTAAAATTTCCACACAGTAATGGTCCAGCAATGAAAACGTGTGTATCTGGTTAGTATTTAATACGCAAAAATTCAGAGGCATACATGGGTATTACCTGCAATGGAGATAGATAGATTTATTTAAAGGATGCCATGCTTGGCCTTGCATGTGATTTGTTATTAATCAAAGACTTATTTCCGGTTTTATCCTTGAACAGATGACACAGACGGGTTCATCTCTCCAGGTGAGAACAGTATGATTTTTTCCATCCAATCTGTGTACAGCAGGGGAGTGGCGTGACGTGCGTGTGCCAGACTCACCCTCTCATCCTTCCCAGTCAGCTCTGGCTGGGTTTGGCTTGGCTGGCACTCCGACTGCACAGTGGCGCAGCTGTGAGTCTGCACACACACAGATACACGCACACACACACACACAAAAAAAACTAAACACACTATTGGAAACAAAACTCACTCATGATTCCACAGAGCAGAGGTCTGTGCATCCCTAATTACAGCAGTGACATGGAAACACTAAAAAGCAGAAAGCATCTGCTTTTCCCCCACTCTTACATGTCAACACTGATGCCCTTTTTGAAAAGGCGAAACGTGAGAGAGAGAGAGAGAAAGAGAGAGAGAGGCAGAGATGGAGAGATGGCCAATTTAGCACAAACCATCTGTCTAGTGTAGTGAGATAATACATCTGTTATACTGAGGGGGAACAGTAATGTAGAGCTGATTTTTACCGCTGCATGGTGGAACCTGAAACAAGGTTACATGTCGCGTTACATCAGTCTTAACACCACTTTGCCTTTTTAGAGAGTTTTGCACTTAGAGCTTTTACTCCTGGTAGGATCACACATATACACACACAAACACGAGCACACACACACACACACACACACACACACACACACACACACACACACACACACACACACACACACACACACCACACACACACACACACACACACACACACACACACACACACACATCCTCTCATGACACGTGCAGTCCTATTCAGAGAGGGGCTTGGTCTCTTCTGTCTTCTTCTCTCAGAAACAAACTCAAGCTGGAGCAGTCTCGCTCTCTGTTACGTTTTAATTTGTCCTCCATTTCCTGAGCTCAGGGAGAAAATTCCATGCGTGTTTGTTAAATGTTCTCAATGTGTCTGGAGCCAGACTGGACCATTCCACAAGTTCAAATAATCCTCAGTTCCCGTTTACAGTACCTATGCATGTGTTCTCTGGTCCTCAAAGTTGAAATCAAACATTAGCTGCAAACATTAGTCCTTGCTAGAACAAAATCCCTTCTGAAATATTAAATATTCAGTGTTTTGCACCATCAAATATTCAATAGCATCCATTTAAGGGCTGTAACAGTGGTCAAGTCAGTGCAGTGGGTGCAGTCAGGAGGATGGAAGGAGTGGAGGCATGGATGGATGGATTGCCCTCTTTGTTGCCCTTTATTTCTTTCTCCTCCTGTTTTTTTTTTTGTAGCAGGCGCTCCAGCCCTTGCAGCCACAGTTGAGTCCACAGAGTGCCTCCATATATCTCTGGCTCTCTGCGTTAATGTCCCCTGAGGCCGAGGCTGACGCTCAGCACTGCCCAGACCCAGACCACCACCGCTTCGGCCTCTCGCTCCAACTCCTCAGCCTCTCCATCCATTATGCAGCCAATAGGCCCCAGCTGCAGCCCTCGCATCCCCCTTTCTCACCCCTACATTTGCTTCCCTTGCTTGATCCTCCCTCCCTGCTTCAGGCTTGGCCCTCACTCTCTCATTCAGACACTCAATCAGCCATGAGCTAAGACAGTAATTAACAAACAGCCGCACATTCATCCGGGACACATAAAACCGCCATCTGTGTACTCTGTTATTGAAGTGATAGACTGAATTGAGTTTTAATTGAATTTAGATACATCTTCATAATTGCCGACAATCATTACACAAGATATTTACAGTCATTATGAAATATTACAATTGGAATTTACAGAAACTTTGTACAAAATATGCCTGACTTCAATGCCTGGATAGTGGGGTCCTTGTTAAGTCATATCAGGAGCTCAAAAGATTGACCCAAAAGTCACTGGTGTCTGGAAGTGCTTCAGTTTCAGCAAGTAGATGCTTTTAGAGTCCATTAAAAAGAAAGAAAAGAGAGAAAAGTCCAAAAAGTACAGAGTCAGCAAAGTTGTGAATCGTGTTTTTCTTTTTCCTCAGTTAAATTGCTCTTTTCTTTTTTTCTCCCGACTGAATGGAACATTTGATCTGTAATTCAACTGCAAAAAACAACAACAGAGACCCATTTAAATAGAATAAATCCATAATATTTACACAATAATGTGAGTATTGATTTATAAAAATGAATCATCTCTTTTTCTTTAAATATGATTTTTATGTTTATCTACAGTTTTTTTCAAAACAAAAACCTAATCACAATGAAACGAATCATACTTCTATCATTCAAATCTACTGATAATTGATGATTGTGGATTTCCATATTTATGCAGCAACTCAGCTCATCTAACAACAAAGTTCTTACACCAGCTCAAGTTGTATTAAAGCCATTCTCTAACTCGGAAGCTCCTCACACAATGGCAGAAAGTATGGAGGAGTCACATGGTCTCTTAAAAAAAATATAACACATGGTGAAATGTATTTAATTCTGTCAGCACAGCAAAAGCAAAAAAACATAAACTTGGCCAAAGCGTCAGTGTCCATCAGTCCCACTTTTTTTACCTGATAATATGAGACCTTAAACAACTGAAGAAGCTTTTTCCTTTCAGCATTGGCACCATTGAAGCTCTACAGGGTTGTCCACAGAAAAGATCGTTCCCTGCTGTACACCTGTTGTCATCCAGCGATGCTCAAATCCATCCTGGTGGGCCT